AGTCCGCATAAAATGTGGGGGGGTGGGTATATTTCATGTGGTCAGGTGAATTATTTCTGGGAAATTTCTTGTCCTACCCCTCCCCAAATATTCCAGGCTTAAAGGAGGGGGATATATTATCAAAACAGGGATGGTCATGCGGGGAATCGACCCGCCATCAGATGTGAGGATTGCCCATCCACGCAATCCCAATGGTGAAATTGTCATGTTCCCCCGCAATCAGACCTTGCTACAGGGCGCGCAACATATATATCTTATACCCTACGATATTACATCTTACGATTGTGGTAATTTCTGTTTAGTACCATTTTAGTACCAATGTATTAGTTGCGTGCAGCGCGGCACCTTGTCAGATAGAATCACGAATGTTGTTTTGGCATACAGAATATATTCTGATAATTAAATATAATTAATACATCGTATTTATTTTTGCTATTTGAAGGATTGTAGCCATTGAAACCTGCAGCGTTGAATTTCGTCCCTTATCCGCACTTGTCAAAGAAGCGTGAAGGAGTCAATCAAAGCATTGTTTTGTCCAAAGGGCCGAGGCTGGCACACCCGCGTTGCCAATTCAGGATCATCCCTTCGCTTGTCAGGATGCCATTGCCGGAACAGGGTCCTTCATGCGAGGCAGAGTTCATTGAGGCACCAACTTGTCTAGGACAACTTCTAAAAAAGCTAATCTCAATCATCTCATTCTATTCTCAAGTGGTTCTCAAGTGATTAGTTAAACGCGTGCTGCTGATGATAGACCATCTATTCACTCTCATTCTCAACTGCTTGGTGTCCTCAACAACTTCTGTCGCTGACCATATTCGGCGCAGTCTAACCTTGGAGGTCTTTGAATTCATGCGTCAGGGCTAGTTAATTCACGTTGCCGAGGCTTGCGCTGCAATTCAATTGCTTCAAGCACCTGACAAAAAAGACATCAATGGGCCAAGGGTTCAAAATGTTTGGAGTACAACCTCTATATACTCTCTTCATGCAGGATCGGATTGAACGAAGCATAGGAAAAATGTGAGAACAGAAAGTCAGCAACCATCCATCAACTTTGCCTGAAGCAGCTCTTTATCTTCGCCTGCCTGATGCCAGCAGACTTTGGACATGATACATCACATGGGGCGCATGGAGAATTCATGAGGATTCAACCTCCTCCACAGCACTGCGGCGCTTTACGAAGGAGGCAATGTCCTCCATGGATGCTATCTGCATAAATATAGACAGCGGATGACAGCGGCAGAATTTACGTTCTGGCCCTGAAGCTTTGCTACTGTCTAGATTTATCAACATCAACCAAGCAGTCAAGTCAAGCATGCTGTCTCAATCCAAAGCCCAGCAACAATATGCAAATCACTTACGACTTACAAGATCTTACAAGTACTTATCTTTTGAAACTCAGCGTTCATCAAACTTGGCGGAACTTCGTAGCTCTGAAATTCGTGCGTGCCATCGTTTGACCAGTCCTCATCAGTCGGAAATGCACCGCCAAAGAAACGACTGTAGCCAGAAGTTTCCTGTGGAGCAAGTTCTGGCGACAAGGCATACGGATTCCGCTTTAATTACGGCTCTGGAGCTTTCACAGCGCCTTCTCCTCACCTTTGGAAAAGTCTGTGCGGCTGAAGCGAGCCTTGGCAACCAAATGAAAGTCGCAGTGCCAATCTCATTGCATCTAGGTCGGCCTTTGACTATCTGTCCGAAATAACCAAAAGTTAATGTAAAAATAGTTCGCCACTTACTTGCTGCTGTTGGCGCAGAGAGGGACAGAGAGAGGCACAAAGAGAGAGAGAGAGAGAGAACTCCAGCAAAAATAGTAGTCCACTTCCGCTGCAACTATGCTCTCACCTCATGACTTCTACTCTCTTCTCATCTCTGCTTGCTCTTTTCCACATCCGATACAAATGAGCGAATGTAAAAAACATGTTGGATGCGGCTTCGCTTTGAGGGCTTTGCTGAATTTCCAGGTGGTGGCTTTGGCGGTGGTCCTGCATGGAAGCTGGCAAGAATGAACACTTCTTGGCAGCATGATGGTAATGCAAAATCCATCGTTTCTTCTCTTCAATAGTTCCTGGAACCTAGGGAAAAGCAAAGGTGCGAGGCATTTGCGTGTCCTTGTCCCCATCCAGACATATCATCGGGCAGGGAACTCATCCTCAGGAAATGAGCCACCGCTATATCCAGGAACAGTTGTGCAGAGTACAGGCTCTGCTGCTGGAATCAATATCGATGCAAGCAATCTTGGGCATTATTATAGAGGACAAATATCAACAAATGATTTCCAATCCGCACACTTGGGGTCTACTACCAGTTCATACTAGTGGCAGTGGTTCCAGGGTAAGACAGGTGCGTTGCGCATGTCAGCTTCATTTTCATCCTTTTTCTTCCAAAGCCATGAAATCTCCTAAGCCATCAGAGCCATTGGAGCCATTGGAGCCGTTAGAGCCATTGGAAAGCGCTGGAAAGCGCGTGTCGGTGGCATCAATTGATGGTGGAGATCCACACCTTGCCAGCAGCATTCGACTGAAGAGTCCGAAGGCAGCCTCGCAGTGGAGCACGGCATCCCAAATACAATGATCAGTCGGGGTGCCCTCGAGCAAACTGAGAGACAAATCGGAATTCCATGTATAAACTGTTGCCTTGACACCATGCTCTGTTGAGATTGTAGACTCTGATGCTTTTGTCTCATGGCCGCGCTGATCAGCCAACCACCAGAGGTCTCGCCATGAAACCGCGCGAGTATCTGCTTTCCCAGCATAGCTCCACACCGGAAGTCGCTGCATTTCACCCAAGATGCTGCCTTGCTGATCCCATGCGTCATCTTCCCAGGCACAGCGAGCGGCCATGGGGGCTGCGGAAGCCAAGCGAGAGCCAAAAAGATTGGCCAAGCTCCATGTTGCTTGCCCTCCCATGGAGTAGCCAGTCACGTGAAGTCGCGCAGGATCAAACCGTTCCTCACCTTCTTCTTCGAGAGTTCTTAAAGCAGAAATGAAGAAATCCCAAAGGATTTCCGGATCAAAGCACTTGACATAGTGGACCTCATTGTAGAAGCGATCTGCTTTTTTCCAGGAAGATGGATGCACAATGGGCTCTCCAATCGAGCCAAAGGGAGCAATGACAATGAAGTTCTCACGAAGGGTCTGGTTGCTGCTCACTAGTTTTTGCACGTCCCACCAAAGAGTCTCCGGATATATATAGGTATTGGCACCATGGAGGAAAAGAAGAACTGGTCGAGAATGTCCACCAGGATCATGTAACAGGTAGTGTTGCAAGCCCGCACCCAGTTTCACGGATCGAAACAGTGCTGCTGGTACACCCGCGCACATCCACAGTTCACCGTGACTGCTCTGCCCTTGCTCGCAGCACTGGCAACAGTGCGAGTACGAATAGACGGAATGCTTTTCTGGATGAGGATGCCCTGTTTGAACCAGGCCAGTAACCATTCGGTCACATGAGGGACAATTAAACCACATCCTCTTTTCTTCCTGGCCATCGACCTTCACAAGCGACTCCTCGTCAATCTCCATTCAGTCAAAGCGTCTATTCCGGTCTAAAGGTGCATGGCAATGTATTCAGAATGAAGAAAATTTGTCGCACAAGAGAAAATCATGCAATGGTTTCAATGCCATAATGTAGTCCACCTCTCTCTCTATCTCTATCTCTCTCTCTCTCTATATGTATATATTTGTATATAATTATATATATAATTATATATATATATATACCCTTGGGGGCGGGGGTTCCCGAGGGGGGAAGGGGTGGGGTGGGGCGGGGTGGGGTGGGGTGGGGTGTAATAACGTCATGTAACTTGCGTGAAGGGGTGGGGTGGGGTGGGGTGTAAAAACGTTCATGTAACTTGCGTAGAATTGGAGGCGACGTGCATGCTACGTGGATGTTACGGTCATTCTAAAGTCATGTTATGTACTTCTCAGGCATATGCCATGTTACGCTAGTGTAAGTTCTCTTGTAATTGTGACGTCTACGTCATGCTACGCTAGTGTAAGTTATCTTGTACTTGTCACGCATACGTCATGCTACGCTAGTGTAAGTTCTCTTGTACTTGTCATGCATGAGTCATGCGGGGGGAAGGGGTGGGCTGGGGTGGGGTGGGGTGTAATAACGTTCATGTAACTTGCGTGAAGAGGTGGGGTGTAAAAACGTTCATGTAACTTGCGTGAAGGGGTGGGGTGTAAACATCGCAAAGCAGTGCATATGTACATGGTTTAAAACCCCTTGATGCACTCGCACGCTTCGAGGAGTTGGCAACGAAAAGTTGCCGGCAGCCTGGTTTGTGCCTTCTATAGTGGTTGATATGTCTTGTACTAATGCTTTTGTATAAAAACAGAAAAACAGCTGACTCACAGCACTCGGAAATTTTGATGATATGCAAAATCACTGTGAATTACCAATGAAAAACAACATCACATCAAAATACCTGTGGAAACACAGTATATTATACCCTTTTCCAATGATCTTTGATATAGCGCAAAATGCGCAACTCATAATTCCAATGGAGAAAATAAGAACACCAAAAAAAACATATTGTGATGGTCCATAATTGACTTCAACTTCGACGGACGAAAAAAAAATGATCCGTAATTGAAAGACATCAACAATGAAAAGAACGACATGAAAAATCTCCATTTTACCACAGTGAAACACTGTTTTTTCTCCAATTCAATGATCCTGATTGACGTCCTCTCGGGGAACCTCCTCCCCCTGCCGTATATATATAATTATATATACACATATATAATTATATATACATATGGTTGTTGATCAAAATTCCTTTATCCCGGAACGGCCATTCTTCGCGAATAAAAATTTTACTTTCGCGAAACTTTCGCGAACTCCATGTTTATCTTTCGCGGGGCCCATGTTGGCCAACAACACCTCTTATGAAGATTCGTTCACCACCTGCCAAATTACGCCAGAGAATCAGGGACCACTTCTTGGTAGCCTGTTGAACATGCAGCTAGCATCACGGAATCCCTTCTCAGGACATGTTTTTTTTTGCAAAGTTTACTGGCTCACCCCCTTCAACATGCACTTTGACTTGCGCCCGCTCTTTCGCATAACTTTCGCGGAACTTTCGCAAACTATCCCTATTCACAGACCCCGGCCATCAGCAGGGGGTGCACTGAAGGAAAAGCGAAGACCAGGGGCCTTGGCGTTTGGCTCTCGCAAAGCCTCACTTTTGGAAACTTGGCTACTGCTACTCGCATTCTCTGGTGCCCTTCTCCTGCCGGACCCCGGGCGGCAGTGGGTGGCAGCCCTTTACATAGAATGATTATAATACCCAACTTTCGCGAAACTTTCGCGAAATAAAATTTTACTTTCGCGAACTCGAAAAAAAACTTTCACGAGGGTTTCCAACATAACATGCGCGGCTTTCGCAATTAAAACTCCTTACAAGGACCTTTAGATCGATCACCATATACATATACATATACACATACACATACATATACATATACATACATACACACATACACACATACACACATACACACATACATACATTACATTACATTACATTACATTACATTACATTACATTACATTACATTACATTACATTACATTACATTACATTACATTACATTACATTACATTACATTACATACATACATATTATATATATATGTATACATATATATATATACAGTATACATTGATATATATATATGTATACATTGATACAGAAGCAATCATAAACATATAATGACATATATAGATATGTGATATGTATATTATTATATATGTAATATGTATTGATATGTGTTTTTGATCCTTCTACATGAATGCCGCATAAATCTGTACGTATAGATACATGTCTTGTCTAGATCTATGGCTCAGCTTGAATCATCAGGACTGGTATGGGTAGCCGAAAAGAGGGCTGCGAATCTGAAGATGCTCAATCAAGTTCGTGATCCTTTCTTCTGAGTCCAACGACAAAATCCAGTTGGCAGAAAAGTCTGAACACTCTGTTCAAGTCCAAGACAGTGGAACACAATAGTATTTATCCACCACATATCCCAAGTATCATCTGCAAAACATGGGCAAAAAGTCATGTTTGCCGAACGGGCATTGGGGTCAGAGCTTATTTCGGACACTGCCCCAAATTTGTCAGTCCAGACCGCCAATAGGAAGCTCAAAACCAAGATTAATCCAGCCGGCACAGAGACCACGAGAGAGGACACAAACCCTTAAGCTGAGGACCCCTACTGTGACCGATGAAGCTTGATGACTCGCAAGGAATCGTACTTGTTCATGAGATAGAGCCTGATTTGTCCTTCTTCTCATGCCGTTATCTGTGAAAACATGATAAAACAATATAAAACATATGAATATTTAAGTGACACTGACATAAATTCATGATTTGAGGTGGTGTGAGACAGCTGATATCAGCTGCGCATCATGTTTTTACAGGTCAAGTTAAGCTCTCCACGTCCGTCTCGTGGGGCAGTGGCCTTGCTGGGGCAGCTGGAGGGACTTGCCAAGCGGAGTGCCACCTAGGAGCTGATTCAATGCTGATTTAATGATTCAATATGATTCAATAGCGGAAGATATGTTCTAAAAATGCTCCAAATCTATTTCAGAATCACATGCTTCAATGATGTCCAATGTTTGATCCTGCAAATGTGTGTGACTTTGTGGAGTTGGCCAACAATCTGAGGCAAGGACTGAGGTCGAGTGTCTTTAGAGATTGCAATTCGTCCATTTTGTTTGGCACTTCGTTGATCATGTTCATCCTGCAGGTCTTGCTCTACACCATCGCTGACTGCACCATGCCAAACCGGCTGGCTACAACACTTTAGTAACACTTTAGTTCAACATAGCTCAACCAGGTCCTGAGCACCAATGTGGAGAGGGAAGTCAATTTGGTGAGTTTGCTGGGTAAACTTGACCTGATGAGCAAAATCACTGTGACCTGCCAAATTTGTTCAACCATGCTTCAGGGTAGTAGTCTTCCTGTGAGGATGGAAAACTGATGCTGATGCCGACTGTGCTAAGGCAGTGGCAACTTGTTGTGACCAACTTCCAACCTGCTTCAGAAGATTTCCGATCGGCTTTCATCCCTCTTTAGGAAGAAGAAGCCTCTGCTCTGCACCCGCCCCTTGCCTCGCCAAGTGCGACAAATCGCCAATACCTTGCATTGGAGCCAGTGGCAACTGCTGTGAAAGTGCGTGCTCGGATCTTCACTAATGTCAACAACCCAAGCGCCGATAACTTGACCTCAAACCTCAATTCTGCAACCACTTGCAACTTAGTCGGTGACTCTCTGGTAGTTCCGACAATTGGTTGTTCGAAAGGTCCAGCCTTGGTGAAAAATTGGATCGTCAGCCAACTGAGGGAAATTGGCAGTGAAGGAATGGTGAATTGAATGCAGTGACTCTATTTGCTTCTTTGCCCTTAAAACTTACAAGTAAGCTGGGATTGCCGCTCAACAAGTGACTCGAGTCTTCCAATCTCATGAGGCAATCCTGCATGCATCACAGGAGGAACCATTGCAGAAACCAATCTACATACCACACAGAATCACTTCTCAGTCGAAGGAAAGTCCTGTCAGTTTGTTGCTGTAGAGGTCAAGAACTCGCCTTTGCTGCAAAAAGGAGCAACACATCCGAAGAACCCCAAAAAATGAAACTCAGGAGCAGTTTGAGAATGAAGTTTGAGCATGAGAAACGTTCTAAGAAAGCTCCACAGCCTCAAGCTAGATGTTTCACTTTGAGGAAAAGGCAACTTCCTCAAAGAGCACAGCATAGCCGGAAAATCCTGACAACGGTCAATATCAGCGCACGCATGACCAAACAAACCCAGGGCTGCAAACCTCGATATCATTCCGTCTTGCTCTCAACTGTCGGAGCGCGACCATGCCCTTTAGACCTCAAACAAAAACAATCTCTCAAGGGCAGTCGTTTTCGGTTTTAGGATACAAATGGATACAGCTAGTGACTTGGATGACTAGGCAGATTTCTGCAGCTGCTTAAGCCGCAAACTCGGCGGAATCTGTCTGAGTTGTAGGTCAGAGAGATCGAGCCTTACAGCACTAACAGATCTGATAAATCGTGTCGTACTGATACAAATGGAAAGAAATGAACCAGATGCACTAGCGAAATCAGGAGCAAAGGACAAGAAATGGTAAGAATCAACAAAAAGTCAGGTCAGCCTTGAGGCCTCTAGGCTTACTGCTCATCGGCCTCGAGGGTTTTCTTCAAAGCTTTCTTGTATTCATCCTGGGAAGTCCGAGGCATTTGGTGCAGGTTTTGTTGCAGTACCGCAGTACCGCAGTGTGAGATTGACACTTCGCTTTCCTTCTGAGCTCTTGTTCTCAGATCTCGACATCTTTCTCAGAGCAAATACGAAGATCTCTCAATTCTCCGAACTTCAGCAAGACAGCCAACCTTGAAGAGTAGCATAAATCCATCAAGATCCCTCATGAAACTCTAGAAAGAACGCACGGACTTGGCTATGACATGTTGTCCATATTGATACATATTAATTAATACATATTAATTAATACATATTAATTAATACATATTAATTAATACATATTAATTAATACATATATTAGTGCACATTAATACATATTTATCAAATCTTACTAATACATATTATACCTCGTTGATAGGTTGACAACAGAAGAAACGTCTCGACAAGAGTTCCATGACTTGGGATCCGACCCAAGGCTCGCTGCCTGACCGCGCTCGAGGACGGCAGGCCGCACCCTCAAGTCAGAGATTCTGCAAATTCCAGGATTAAATCAGATGAAATCTGTTGAATTCGGTGTGGATGCCAAGAATTCACGGCAATTCTGTCAACCAATCAGCGGCATATTCCCTGTTTGTCAAAGCTTGCATTGCCCATCAAATAACTAGATCTGTGTTCACATTTACGTAAACATGTGAGAGGGAGATGATGAAATACACATGTCTAACGTGTCCAAAGAGTCCAAAGGATTCTACAGCTTGGCCGAGGCAGCGAATTATGTCATGTTGAACGATGGACGCGGAATGGGCTGCCTCTTGTCCGGCACAGACGTAAGCTCGGGATTTTTCTGCAGATCCAAGGTTTGCAGTTTTTGCCTCAGCCCAGATCAGACCGAAGCTAGGGAACCTCCACTCCAAGCATTTCATTTCTAGGGCTCTTCCTGCAATCATTTTGACAGCGCAAGGGGGCACCCCAGCTAACCCAGTCCAAACCCAGTGGCCAATTAAGCTCCAGAAATAGTATAATAATGTATAATAGCCCAAGGGCCTGTGAACAACTAGATTAACATACCCACATACCAGTACCATTCAGTACCACTGTATCTCAGTCTCTGGCAATTGAAACAACGGAGGCAGATTCAACAGCTGGTTCTTCGCAAGGCTCAAATCCTTCAACTTGATGAGCTCTCCTGACTACACTGAGTTGCAGCCAGTCAAGCAGCAAACCGCTACTGTATAGGCTAGGCCACACGATGGCAAGAGGCAGTGCCACGCCTATTTGATCTGGAAGGTGCCGCAGTTGATTGCTACCTCAAATCATAAAATCAATACTAATAGAATCAACGTCTTTGTTTTTGTTCGTTACAATTACTAAACCGAAGGGAACAGCTGTTGAGGGTTAGTCTGACGTTCAGCGATGTCAAAGATGTTAGCTCGCAAACCTGAGCAAGGGCTGACGAGCGACAGCGGATGCGAGGCTTTTTTACACATGTGCAAATCTGCCTAATCTGCCTGAGGTCAATGCGCTTTCTGGCAGTTCAGTCAATAAATTGCACCTCAATGACGGTGAACACAGTGTAGTATAACGGACTCCGATGGATTTTGAGTATCAGAATCTATCGGCTGAGATATGCTGAGATTCTGTTTGGAAACCCCTCAGTGGGCACATGTCAGGTGTGGTGGAAAAATGAGCCACACTGCATGCTTGCACCGTTGTCATCCGTTTTCCACTTGTGCGTGGTCGATTGACAAAGGTTCAGAAGTACTAAAATAGCCAGAGAAGGCTACTGGGCTCTAGAAGTTTGTCACAACTTCTAGAGTGGAAGAGATCATACACGTCCACGCGATCTGATTGCAGCAGATCTGAAGACTTCAGCAGATTTGAAGACTTCGGCACAATTTGCTTCACTGCGAGAACCTGTCACTTCAGCATCCAACAAGGTCTACTCTCGTGCTTTCTGCATTCATCTGCATTCTGAAGCGTCGTTTTTTCTGTGCAAGTTGTTTTACTCCCCAAAGGTGGGGCAATGTCATAATGTGGTTTGGAAGCGAAGGCAATGCCTTCACAATCTTTCACATTCCAGTCCTGACCCTCTCCTGGAGTCTGCTCTGTTTACCATGATTGTTGCCTCTCTTCAGGTTATCTGACTGGTGTTATTGCTTTGTTTCCCTGCCTGTGAGTTCAAAGCGTCTCAACCTCGGGCCCCTAAGAGCATCATTCAAATCAGAGTGCGAATAGGTGCGAAGAACTTCCTGAGCTGTTGGCAGTGCTTCAAAAATCTTCAAAACATGCATTTTTTTTAATGACCAGATATGACCAGAGTTCAATATGTTCAATGGAGTCAGAAAGGGGTCGCCTTAGCGCTGACAGCATTTCCAGCGAAGCTACGTAGGGGGGCAAATTGTCCTCATCAATGCCCGCAAATAGGCTCTCCCAAATAGGCTCTCCCATTCCGACCTGATCTCATCACATCCCCATTTCATATCTCCACCCATGGTATGCAGTGTGTGTTGCTTATGTGGGTTTGTCTAAAAACCCATTAAATTGAAATGGCAATAAATTTTACACACATGATATCTATCATTAGAATGGAAACACCCGCTCATGGTGGACTGGGTTTGCTTCTGGCTCACTGGGCTTCAGGCCACGGTGTCAGTGGTGCATTCGGCAATGGGCGCAAGCCTCTGGCGATCAAATGCTGGTGTTGTTCCTTGGCATCTTCGTAGCCCTGCTTGATCCTGAGCCCAAAATATCCAAATTTGGTTCTCTCTTTTTCCGCAAATGCCCTTAAAATCTGCACAAGATCTATGTATCCAAGCTGCAGCCCCTTTTGATGTCGCCATGGGTAAAGGACAATTACCTAGGTGGTTGAAACAGGGAGCGTGGCAGGGAAGCATAAACTACACAGATTTTACACTTGCCATTGCTGCCTGAGTTTTCTGCCTCTGTTGGCATGAAGCGTCGCGGCTGGATATCAGCCACACCCATTGCCGGAGGAAAGAGTGTCGCCCACCAAGGAAAACAGGTAACTTTGATGACCTCCAGCTACATTCGTTGTCATCACTGTCCAACCAATCTCAGACAACTTCCTCACCAATATTTGTGTTCAGACAGCCTCGTTCCAGCGTTGACCAGCAGGAACAGAGTACATCGCTGAGAAGCCACCATCAACATAGTACTTCCCTGACAACACGCGGAACGACAATCACACTCTGGGCATCTACCAGGGCCATCCAAATGCTGTTCAAAGAACAAATGTAGGCATAAGCAGCAGTTCAGTAACGCCCTCATCAAGGGGCCTTCATACATGCCTGGTGTTCTGAAGAATGGCACTACCTCGGTGGGGTGCAATTCATTTATTCATTTCTCATCCAAAGCTCCATGTCCCGACTTACCTGGGGCATCGACGCGTCTTGACAACAGAACCACATCCAGAAGAATTCAAGTGCACTTGGAGATTGGATGATTTTTCTGATGGTGCTATACAATCTGCCCTATCTTTGCGCCCTCTTGGGAATACAGCAGAGCACAGTCAAAAAAACAACGGATGGAACGACAGGTCGCTTCCGCCAGAAAGTGTTTTTTGATTTTGTTGATACATAGTCTCCAACACGTGTTGAAGGTCCACAAAGTCGACATATTCACCAATACGAGCGCGAACATACTGCTTGTTTTCAGGGGGGAATCCTTGCTACATTGTAGCAATTCAGCCAGATCCAAATATTGCAAAGGCGCACTCATCGAGGACAGTACAAGCTTGACCAGGTCTCGAAGGGTGCCAGGAGTTTCGATGCAGCAATGCCCTGGTGGAAAGCACTGAGTGACACCTGCAAATGGGTCAATGAGTGGATAGCTGGATATAGCTGGATAGGAGGCATTGGATGCTGCAACAATTCTGCAAAACGGCGATGTGCCTATGTGACATTGCTTTCTAGCGGCAAGTTCCGCCACATCTTCATCAGTAATCCCGATCTGCTTCCAATGTTGCATTGTGAAGTCCACCATTTCCTGGAAAGAGGGCAAGCCTTTACAACCCTGGGACAAATGCTTGTTTCTGAATATGGACATTCAATCTTGCTTTGATCCAAGTGGCTTCAAAGTCATTTAAATAGACGCCTTTTTTGAGGAAATGCTTCTTCATGTGAAGTCCCAGCCTCAGATAACACTGAACAAATTCAGTCTGGCTACTTGAGCTGTGGTGTTGCAATCAGGTAAAGAGTTGGCTGGTGCAGGTTTTTAACGATTATTGACTCTATCAAGATCTATCAAGATCTATCAAGTACTTTAAATGCTGCAGAGCTGGCTCGCCTTCCCGCTTTTGCGGTCAAAGCGCTCTGGAAGTTCAATCTTTCTGGTGAGGTCTCTTCGCAAGTCAGGGGATCGAAGACTAAAGCATCAATTCTTGGCATATTTTTGCTGAATACATGTCAATCAGATCTTGAATGAAACGAGTGGAGTTGCCCTGACGATGGCATATGATCTAGTTGTGGGTAAGTTTGACATTGAGCTAAAGCCACCATTTTGGAGTCGAGCAGCAAGAGGATCTGGTACAAATCAATTCCCATGGCCAGTGCCAGTATTGTTGAGCAACCTCAGATTGGATCTCTTGCAAAAATTATCTGGCTAAAGATTTCAATTATCGTACATTTGAAAGCTCTCAATGCAGCGCATCTCAAATCATCTCAATCTATAGCGACGGACAATCACTTAGAACGTGAAAAAAAAAACCATTTTTTTTCGCACTTAGAACGTGGCACGAAATCAACACTTAGAACGTAGGCAACATTTCATCACTTAGAACGTATGTTTTTCGATGCTTTTCGTTGTTTTTTTTACATGTATGCGCGTTTCCCTTGCCCGGACAGTTCAGATTTTGTGGGTGCGACAACATTCACTTCCCCACCTCCACTGATTCCCGAGAGCTCCAAGTTGTCAACAAAGAAATGGTCGCGGATGTAGGTCACCTCGCCATGCTGGTAGGATGGAAAGGTCGGTACCATCCGGTACCACAGGGTACCAAGACCAGCCACCAGCCAAGACCAGCCACCAGCCAAGACCAGCCAAGAGGCTATGCCATGGAAATATGCCAAGAGAAGGCCAGATCCGGAAAAGGCCATGAAGGGCTTCCTCTCCTTGGACGAAGTGGAAGGGAGTCCGCTTTGATCATACTAAGTTGAATAAGTCATAATGCAATTGCATAATCATTATAACTATAATCATTGTATATATTTATATACGTATATACACACTATGATTTCTCATTCTGTGTATGTATCCAGGTACTTTTCCAGTTCATCTTGGTGAGACAGGTGTGGAACTTGATTGGAGTAGCAACTTTTAGAATAAACTTGGCCATACATTATAATAAAGACAAAGTGGATTGATGATTCTGATGTGTTATTCCACCTGGCAGCACTTTTGCATTCTCTGACACAGTTCCTGTTTCACTAACAGTAAAATTTGGTGAACACATGTCCGAAAATTGCCAGGACTGCCAGGATGCGTCTGTCTGCAACGATCTTGGAATCGAAAACGTCGTCCATCTCCGTCGGAGGGTGTACCTTTGCCAAGGTTTTACAATTGCCGCTTGACTTCTGACGTTTAAGCAGTGGAGCGTTCTGCATGATGCTGAAGCTGGCTTCAGTTTGCTTAACAAACAACCGTGCAGTCACCCACGCGCGGCCTATCTAGTGTCGATGAAAGCCTTGTATAATTGGTAAATCTTGCAACCGCATACAAATGATTCAAATAATATTCAAATAATTGCAAATGCAGATTTAAAGCGAAAACGGATCCTCTCTTTGTTGGTTGTAGATAAAATTCTGCCAGGAGCTGAGGAAAGTATTGCCAGTGGAAAGCATCAGTAAATCCCGAAAAGACTTTAAAAACCACACAGTCTCACAAAAAACCGAAGAACACAAACGGTTTCTGCTATCACGGACGCAGTGCACGGATTTTTGAACAAATCACTTGTTGCTGCACAGATTCAGAGCACGCGCCAAGAGCACCAAAAATATCGATCGCGACAACTTTGTGAAGCCTCACGTTCACCAAGGAATGAAAGAGGTCAAATTTGTTTTTAAACGATGCTGAAAGATGCTTTTTGAGGCCATCACACCAATGATCGAGCTGAATTTTTGAGGACTCGGCTTCGGATCTGCCCCTTGTAGCGCAGCAGCTCCATGGCTGGAAACCGCTTTCTTTGATCCAATTCAAGCTTAACATACTACGCCTTCAGTACAATGGGTTTTAAATGGTTTTAAATGGTTTTAAACAGTCTAAACAGGAGGGAAGTTTGAGGACTTACAGGCTTGCTGTTGCGAAATGAGGTTGGGTACTTCTTGACAAAAAATATGAGCATCGATGACCCTCCTACATGATCACACTGTGTTTCCGTGCCCAAGTCTCCTTTCTTGCCAAAAGGCTGACATAGAGCAAGAATGTCCAGAATGTCCAGAGCTTCTCGACCAAAACGACACCAAACCAACTACACATAAGAACACTATCAAACTCTTGCGCTGGCATGAAGGTATTGCTCAGTGGATGTTTACAGTAATTCAATATTCATTCTACCAGTATGAACAGAAGACTCAGAAGACTCTCAATAGCTCTGGACTGAGTCACTGAGTAGATTGGAATAGATGATGGATGGTGATAGATGAAAATCATTGAAAATCGATGATCAGGTTTGAAGCAAGGACGAGCCCTGAGACAGGTGCCTGATGTCAAGCTCATGCAGGCAGCTGAGCATCCCAATGTCCGCAGTCAAAGCCTCCAATCCAAGTCTGACAGTCTGACGTTGAAGTGATTGAAGTGAATAGCGTGACAACACTGCAGAGATAACGGTCATGACCCTCAGAACTCAGGGACATTGAAGATCAATGAGAGATACCAAGAGCATACATGGAGGTGAACAAAACGGATGGAAACTCTTGTGAGAGACTCAGCTCTACAGGGCGAATCACCATGCAAATTTGGACTATGACACAGGTCTTTTCATCACCCTTTGAATCATTGACGTGTCTGTATGCCTTCTTGTCTTGTGCTTTAAGTTTTGGGTTTCTTAGCTCTCAGCAACTTTGTTTTGATTTGGACTTTGGCGAAAGATGCGAAAAGTAACAACGATTCTATTTCCAGGTGGTAAACAGATTGACTACAAATTTGTTTGGCTTTGGCTGCAAAGTCTCCAGTTGATGCTTCGCAAGTGCGAGTTGAGGCGGATGATTGTCTGATAATAGATCTGAATTCAAAGGCATGAAGGGAGGTTGTTGGTAGCTTTGGCAGATTTTCTGCAGGTTTTGGTGTCTCAAGACCGCCCTTTCAAATGACTCCCCTGAGTCTCACATGCAGTCGGTTTGCTGGCAATGAACGCGGGCACTGAGGCTCGTTCCCTGAGTTTATTGTTGTGCGCATGAAGGGTTTCTAGACCTTTGTGGGTCGAGCTGGGACATAACTTCGGCTTCAGAACTTTCGCCTCTGGGCCTCAAACTTTCTAGAAGTGTGATAGAGTCCGGGAGTACCTCAAGTCCATTCTCGGAGACCTGAGCGGAAAGCTCTGTGTTTCTATTCCCATTCTGTTGATTCTGCGAATCAACTTAAATTGATGGCAGGGAATGAAGGAATCAATCCAGCACTGAGGGCTGTGCATCAAGCCTGTTTAGCAACGAGTCTTTAGATGCAGCCGTTTACAACATCTTTGGCAACCAGCCTTGCTGCATCTTGCTATGTTTGGAAACCCCAGTCTCCTCAGTCTCCTCCCGGCCTTTGAAGTCGTGTCAGGCGACCTATCTGAGCCAAAGAATCTGCTGCCAAACAATTCCCTGCCTTGGCAATTAACTAGGCCAGGTGGCCAGAGGGCAACGTGATGGTTTCAACACTGAAGGCATAGTGTAACAAGCTGCAGAAGAGTTCAGTAAAATGAAATGAAGTGGAAACAGTTGATATTATAAAAGGACTGAAGCCAAGACCAAGTCGAGTCTTACAAGCTTTCGAAGCTTTGGAAGATGTGGCCTGATCATTTTTGGATCCGTGCTCACCCTGTACTGGTTCTGAAAATGACACGGAGAACTTCTTGGAATTCGTTTGTCAACCATCTGTTTAGCACTCGCTGAGGAGGGACATACACACAGGCACAGTTGGCTTGAACGCTCCCTGGGAGAGCTGACACATATGAGAGATTGTTGTTGCCCAAATCCAGCCTCAGCCAGACTGAAAGCGATTTTGGAAATGGTGATGTGAATTTGTTTCATGGCCAACCATCTATTGTAGCAGGCCACAAAATTAAGTACAATCAATCGTTCTCATCAGCATTGGAGCACATGCACAAAAAGCCGTGTTTTCAGGGCTTGTTGAGACATCTGTTGCTTGCAAGCAATGGCTCAGATTCTTACTCCTGAAGCAATTGAAGCTCTCCAATGCTGCGTGGCAACTGCTCCAACCTTTCAAGCGGCATGTGCTTACTGGTTTTGCAGTGTCCATGAATGCTGAACGGTTTGCAGTTCCAGAGCCACAAACACGCAGCCCAGCCATCAAATCAGAGATTCGTGGCCTGCTGGGAAAGCTGGGGCTGTCACCTGTTGTTTGACAGGTTCAACTCCTGCAACAGTTGCAGCTGACCTGGCATGTTGGCAAAACTGTACAAGTGAAATGGCAGCATGTTCAAACGATTTGTTTCGAAAGATGGAATGATCCAATCCGTCAAACCTCGCCAGTTTGGCCAAAGCTTTCTGGCAAAGACACGAGTTGGTTGTCGGACAGACTCACACCTGCATTCCCTAACTTGGCTTTTGAAACAGCCAAACAGCTGCTTGAAACTGCTCATTCATATTGCTTCATGCTGTTTCATTCTGAATCTCCTTCAGAGAAGCGCTTGCCTTGCAGAACTTCCAAGAGCCCAAAGCTCTCCGGTAGGGCGGTCAAACCTGAAACTGCACAGAGAGTTGCTTTGCGTGATTGTTGGCCGTATGTAAGCCCAGCAACTCCCTCAGAAAAGAATGATGCACATCGTACTCGTCATTGGACCAAGATCAAGTAGTGAGTCAATGCACAACTTTCTGCACTCTGTTCGTTGTGAACCATATATATATATATACATACATACATATATCTAAGTATATATTAGTATATATTAGAAAGCTGCAGCAGAAAATCGGCGGCGGTGCAAAAAATAGATGGGTAGAGATGGCTGAAGGACCTTACTGTGCTGAGTCCAATGCCCTCTCCACGCAGGTCGAGGATTGCAAAGTCAGCCAGGTCCTTGAGTTCGACTGCCGACTGCCCAGTGGAGATGAAGACAGCCTGGATATCCACTGTACTAGTAATACAAATAGTAATACTATGTAATACTAGTATGATATGCACGGATTCGCCTGGATTACACATTCGCCCAAAGTGAGAAGTGAATGGTCGGTCACTTGGTGCGAGTTGGACCCACCCGTCCTCGAAGCATTCAACGCTTGCAGCTCTCGCCACCTCTTCTTCCTCAAATGAGCAGTGATGATTCCAATTGATTCCCTAGTAACATTAGTATACATCAGTAACAATGAAGTTGGAATTCAGATAATTCAGTGATTGAACCCAAAGGAAAAAGTGACACAAAGATACAAAAAGATACAAAAAGTCATTCACTATGCAGCTTTGGATCAAGCTTGAGGCAAAGAGCTTCCATGGCCTGCCAAAGGCTGCAGGAGTTCCCCAGGAGTTCCCAAGCGTAAGGTTGATTTCGCCTGCTGACTGCATGGGTTCGCAGTCGGAGGAGAGACCAGGACTCCTTCCATGGTCAAGGCTTTCCGGTGTCTCCTTGGTATCCTACTCATATCCTACTAGTGACATTAGGGGATGTTGATACACGCTGATGCATGTTGTGTGTCTGTTGCGGACCAACTACCAATCCGTGGGCCTAGGAACTCCGCTCCATCAACGAGTGTGTGCAACTTCTATACAGAAGCTTCTGGGTTGGAGACAGCGCGCTTCTCTGTTTCAAAGGACAAGCCACTGTCATGTCGCTTGATGCAGTGTGCGCTTGTTACCACTTGTTGGATCTGAGCCTTTGAAGCTGAGATGTGCATCAAGCAGTCAGGCTTGTTCTTAGAATATGCAGGTGTGCACCCCAAAGCTTTTGGATTTCCACTGTACACTCCCTATCATTCCCTGAGAGCTTCCTAACTGAACCACACGTCTTTTTTGTAGCTGCACTAGAACCAATTCACCAAGGGGGCAGGGGAAGGGCTGCCACTGGCTGCCCAGGTCTCCCTTTAGGCCCCACTTGTTTGCGCAAGAGAAGTTTGTTCATTCACTGGAGCCGGCAGTGCCACCAGAATCAGGAGAGCCAGAGGCAATAGAAGAGTTGGAAGTCGAACTCACCAAAAGCGGTCCATCACCTCATTGTCATGGAATGTCATGGACGGATGCAATTTTTGCCTCAAAGATTCAACAGCTGTAGATAATTTTGGCCTCACAGCTAAGCATCCTGACCCTCCCTGAAACCTGTTGGAGTTTGTGCTACCTCTCCGTATCCTCGGGGATATTTCTCCCAAGTCCTTGGATAGGGTAGAATCAGAAAGCATAGAATACTTGACGCAACACATCACATTCGATATCCATCCTATGACGACTGTGATAGAATCTATCATCTGAGGCATCCAAGTGCATCCAAGCACATGCGCTATATACTGCGCTACACTATATGATATTATATGATACAATATGATACTATGTGGAGCTATATGATACTCTATGATCAATGTGTGCATGCATTCTGGTTCCACTGAGAAGCAAATTCAACACACAGCTCACAGTCATAGTCTTAGCTTGCTGCCAATCTGGGGTCAGAGACATAGCCTGAACAAGTAACCAACTTTCTACCAGAACAACTTGACTATGCGTCTCCAGCTGAAGGCAGAGTTTAGGCTTGGACTATATCAGGCTCCAAAGCCAGCAGCAGTAGGTCTGGCCTCTGAATGAAGAGATATGACATGATATGACCAGAAATGAGAAGAGCCATAAAAAGCCTTCTTTGCTCTTGAAGAATTTGAAGAGTCTGAATGGGTCCTTGGATGTCCTTGGTGCGTCCTTGAACAGGTCCTACAGGGTGCAGTCATTTTGGCCGATCCAAAAGGCCCCAGCAGGTTCACGTGCTCTTCGCGCAGCAGAAGGAAGTCCTGGCTCAACGGCCCGTAACCCGGAAAAAAAGCAGGCACATTCACAGCACAAAAAGAATATGCCTCGGCAGTCGTCCATTGTCGTCCTGCCTTCATAGATATGAAATGTGATGAAACATGATGGAACATGATGAAATGTGATGAAATGTGATGAAATTCAACATAATTCAACGAAACTTCAGGTGATTTCTGCGAAAAAGTCTGCCATGATCTTCCATGCAACTTTCTCTGAGCTCTGCACCCTGAAGCAAGGAGCTTCAAGCTCCTCCCAGCTCTCCACAACAGACTCCACCTCCTCTACCTGCGAACCACTGAGCACTACTGTATGGAACGAATTCTACATATGATTTATGATGAATTATCATGAATCAATGAATCATGAATCTGTGTCTTCCACTCATTGGTCAACCTCTTGAAGCTAGGAGAATGCTCTCGGACAGTTGCTCCCGCACTGCCTTGTTCGCTGGTATGGGCAAGGTCAGCAGGCCGACGTGTCCTGACGAAATCCAAAGCGTCATTAGGATGGCCACAGATGGCCACAGGGAGTTCATGTCTGAGGTCATGGAGGGTGACACAGGTGACACAGAATGACACAGATAAATTTGACAGATTATTGTAGATTATTGATAAGAAATTGGTAAGAAATGATAGTATCAGAATGTATCAGATAAGAATGTTGCCTGAAACACTACACTCTCCCAGTTGCGACTTGAGTCGGTCATTTCTCTTATGGCATGTACTCTCATGGCCAAGCGCAACCAAATTCATCAGGGCATTGAAGTGTCTGACATGAAATTGTCATGCCAGAATTCTTGGGCTTTACAATCCCAGAAGATCTGAAGAAAGGGCTGTGCTAGTTGCATGCTTAGTGCCCGAAACATCTGAGCAATCTCGGAAACTCAAGGTTCACGAAAAGGACATCAACAAATTTGGGAAGGTCCTATCGCTTACCACGCGTTTGTACAGAAATTATGTATGGCATTTAGGGGGTAATGTGCACAGAATGACACAACATTCACAGAGGGTATCGATATTTGGGAAGGTTCCATAGCTTGCGCATCGATGTTTGCACAATTTCTGAAAACCAATGTCTGTCCCTTACATGTCTCCTATTGCTGGAGTTTTTGCGGCGGCTCATCTGAAGACAAATGACTCTCATGCAGCAACCCAACTTGCTGTCCATCCGCGTTTCCCATGAAGATGCAAAGCTGGTGGGTAAAAGTGTCCTCAAGGATCACACATTTTCAAATGACGACTTTCAAATGACGACTGTCTTGGAAATTGCAACACTAGATACTACATGATACATCATGATACTGCTGTGCGGATCACAAAGGCTTTGTCAAGCAAAAGCCAACGCAAACATACTAAGCTCTGGACCGACGTTTGGTCAGAGCCACTTCGATCTTGCAGAGTTTATGAGTTTGGCAGTGCAGCTTTGGTGGTGCAGCTATGAAACCAGAAATCACTGACATTACATGCTACTGATTTCTAGTGTAACTCTTGGCAAACATTTCCTGCTATTGCTGCAAGATGCTGCACACAATGATGCCTTGGTGGGATGAGGCATCTTTGGCTTCATCAGCCGCATCAGCCCGCTCAACCTCTCGCTGTCCTCCACAGTGAGAATTTGGCACATCACAGCGAGTTTCAATCCGAGACTCCGCAGTGTCCAAAAGCGTTTTCAGCAGGTCCTTCAGCAGACTCGCTTCGTTTTTGGACCTCCAGAAACATGATAAGGATGCGTTGCCTGTATGCATTCCTGTTGATTTTCCGCTCTTAAGTCATGTGGTTTGAGATTGGCCTAAGTGATCCTGAGGGCCAGTTTCGTGGTTTGTATTGACCCGGTCCAAGACGTTCCAAGACGTTCCAAGATGTTCCAAGGTGTTCCAAGTGCTGTTTGGGCGAAGTTTCTTGGAAGCCTCTCGGACCGTTCGGGTGTTTGCTGCAACGGCGGCAGGAGGCGCTTCATCACCTTGTACCAAAGTCTGCCACTAGTGAAGCAAACATTTTCAAATATCATAAAATATCATAAAATAGCAAATGTTGAAATCTTGCATGTGCTGATGATTCTATCTACAGACCATTGTTGATCATCATATATCATCATATATCATCATATATCAGTATTCTTCATGTCATTTGCATTCATTTGCATTTGATATTGACACATATTGACACATATTGACATAGAAAACCTCCGAGCCTTTGGAGCCTCCGGAGCCTTCAACTTCTGAGGGCCACACCAATGTAGTACGCTCTGCCGGGAAATCGACGATCAGCTCCTTGCATCACATGGGTCACATGGGTGGCACATGGGCACTCAGTGGCTGCTAGTTGGTACCAGTAGTCGGTCACCTCGAGCAATCGAGCTTGGGGCAGCACCATTTTCAAGCTGTCCGTCATTGAAAGGTTCAAGAATGGCTTTGTGCAATTGCAACCTCAGTCGCAAAAGACAAGTCTGCAAATGTCTGCAGTTTCTTTTAAATCTTAGAGTGTTTTAGGACCCTTGGAGGATTTGGAGGTCTGTTTGCAATCTAGACCCATACAACCTTTACAAAGATGTGCAAATCATCAGCCACCATCCAGCCGATGGAGCCTGACACCGCCGCACTGGTCACCTCTTGATGTTTTTGCTGTCCGCATTTGGGAACTGCTTGGAGGATCAACATGTACCAACGATATACTCCGATATACGGGATATGAGGGGCGATGTCTTTAAAGCCCTTCCGCTTGAAGAAACATCAGGAAATATCAGGAACCTGCCAGAAAAGAGGGCATCGCCCCTCAATCCATCCTGGATTCGACGACTCTCAAAGGAACTCTGAGAAGTCTGAGAGATGCCAAGAGATCGACAATTGGTTCTGTCATCTCTTTTTGGATCTCCCATCAAAACGGCATCCGAAATGGGAACCTAATTAGTCACCAAATCGAAGAGGATTACTGTACTTCTTCAGTAAGCCCCTTGTTTGCCAAGTTTTTGGCATAGCTGCAGCAGGCAGCGTTCGAAAACAACTGGTGACACATGTAGCAACACTGGGGATCGCATCTATCGGAATCCATGTCTCTCCCAGGTTCTGGTAAGATTGGATTTGTCTCCCCAGCATCGCCTTCCCGAGTTGTCACAAAGCTTTGGCGACAGATTCGGGCTCACAAGGGCAGAGTTCTTGGCCACAGTTGAGGATCCCTCCCCGGGTGGTCCAGCGACTGACGCCTGCCATGACTCAAACGTCCTAAGTTACATCATATTGCATCACCACTTGAGGTCACCATGATTCACCATGACTCACCATGGTCTGATCACCAGCCTACGAGGTCTGTTCTGCAGGCTGGTCTTCAAGCGTATTGCGATGGAGGTTGCGCGCCCTCCTTTCAAGGTCCTTGGAAAGATTGGAAAGTCATGAAGGATGTCTGCACTCTTGAGATTTACAAAATGAGTCCTTACAAGGCTTCCCCGAGCCTATCAGAATGGAATCACAGAGACAGCAATTCAGGAGAGCCCTCAAGTGTGGTGGATGCGCTTTGCAATGCTTTCTTGGTAGCACTAGGGAATCTAGTCATATCTAGTCATATCTAGTCATATCTAGATATATCTAGTCATCTACGGTAGCCATATCTAGTCATATCTACAGTAGTCATATCTAGTCATATCTGTAGTATTCTGTAGTCATATATGTAGTCATATAAGTACGATTACGTAGTCATATAGGTAGTCATATATGTCGTCCTATGTTTAGGGTGAACAGTGAAAAGCTACCATTATCAAAGCCACCAGGAGACCTTTGTCGGCCAGTTTGACGCACTTCAGCAGGGCCTCTTTGCGAGATCTCGCCTCAGTTTACAGCTGTACATCCAATTGACTTGTGTTTGCTATATAGTAGACTTATATATATATATACAATTATATACGTATATATATATATAGTTGTGCAAACATATACAAACCATATTGACATTGGATGCTAAGATCTGAATACTTACGACTTCGAACAAGTGACAAAGCCAGTCCAGCTTCGCATCCATACGGCTGTTGTCGGCCATGAGGACAGCCAGGTCAAGTGCCTGCATGTGCAAAACGGATGTCAGGCACGCTCTTAATGAGAACTTTTTATGATATAAAATGATATACACATATATATAAAGTATATTTGACAATATATAATCTATTGACCCTTGTCATCCCTTGTCTTTTGATCACTGTTTTTGCCTCAGTACTGCATTGATTCTGGTGCAGTCTCTGAGAAATGGGCAACAGTTGCTTCTAGTTGGAACTGTTTTTGACAACTCATCTCCGATTCTCCAGCCTTCGCTGGACCTCTCAAGCGGAACCATCCATCCACCAGCTCTTGAGGAGATAAGGTTCCAGTCTCATCCATGTCAAGGAGCCTGGCAAGGAGGATCATCAGAAGTCATCAGCAAGCGAACACATTGCAGCTGTAACTGCTCTTGGCTTCAAATACATTCAGATTTGGGATCTTGAGCCCTGGCCTGAACAAGCTCTCAGCATCATTCACATCCACATCGACTGCCTAGAGCGAATGACATTGAAGGTACCCGAGTTGCCAGTTGCCAAGGCTCAACGATCCCGGATGCTACGGAGGCTACGCCTGACGGTACCTGAGGGCATCCAGCCTGGAAGAGTTCACGAAGCTCCTTGGTCTCGAGCATCTTCTGAAATTCTATCAGCGAGAGCTCATCCTTCCTTGCCAGAGTCAGAAAGATCAGGAACTGTGCTGTTTTGTAAACCGGTGCAAACCAATCAACACTATCAACACCGTCAACATCTATCCTCTGTTTTGAGCCGTTTTCTCTTGGCCCATTCAAGCCCATCATGAGGCTTTAGGCCCCTAGGCCTCAACCCAGCAATCATCCACAACTCTTGTTGGACAAGATTCTCATTGAGATTACTCTTCTTGAAGAGACTGAGAACATGCCGCACGACATAGTTATCTTTATCTTCCTTTGAGAAGGCAGAGGCGTTTTCCACGAAAATACCTCAGGGGCCAATGGCAATGGGTTTGGCAGCTGCAAACTCTCGGCCAAGAACAGGACATTGGACATTGATGGACATTGTATCTACTGGAAACTGCTGGAAGTCTATACTATATGTAAAGATGGCAGTCAAGATCGTTCAATAGGTGCTTCACCCCCACCATCCCACAGTCGCCTGTGATTACGTTCATCATTGCCAGCACCGAGAAGGCTACATATAGAGTCACAGCAGCACCCATCAAAGGCGAGATTTCCTCAACAACCGGAGAGGAGCTGTGGCTGATGCTAAGATGTGCTGATATGCTATTCCATTTTACTCTGCAGCAAAGTAATCAGAATCATTGACACCATTAGCGTATCAAAGCGTCGTTGATGAGTGGATCTGCGACGTTTTTCCAATCAATGCCGCCCGTGATGCACATCCACAATGTGATGGCAGCAGTTCCAAGGCCTCCCAGTGATAGCTCCAGTGGCCCAGATACAAGTCACAACGCTATGCACAATCCTGTGAGGTTCATTCGATGTTAATTAGACAATTAGTAGATTCGTAGATTTCTTTGGTTTGTGTTCACCAAAACCAAGAAAAACAAAGTACTGACTCCTCAATTTTTTTCTGAGCTTGCTGCTTGAAAAGTATTGATCAAGAGCAGTAGATTCATGCACGTGCTGAGAGGCACGATAGTGGTTCGCACTCTCCGTCAGAGTGACCTTATTGTATCTGATTCGTGCTTTCCACAAAAACGATCAAAAACGCTCTGCACATCTCTGCAGTAGAGACTGAACTGGTGCAAATGTCTCAGCCAAGCGGCTGCAACGGTGTACACTAGCATGCCAAAAAGAACTGAGGCCCAAATCAAGGGCCGTAGACAGGCCTTGCCAAATCTGACAAGAGCAATCAGACATTCTCAAATTGCGTTGCAAAACCACACTACCTGCATGAGTCGAGATTGAACACAGTCCTCTCGTTGTGCTTCCAAATTCCACCCACCGTCAGTAATTACTCAATTCTTCCGAGCTGCAACAATCGAAGCTACCATGGTGCGCAACTCCACCATCAAGTGAATAACGCGAGCCAGGCGCATGATACGCGCCAAACGAAGCAGGCGCAAACACATTCCTTAGATATCTGCTCCGTTGCGCAGGTGAAGTACTTTCTGGTATATGTGCATCTCTCATAAGTACAAACATAAAGCGCAACCAACAAATTAAAACGATAACATACGATAAATAACTTAATACTTCAACAAAAAGGTACGAGTAAAAAATGACTGTGCAAACTCAAGATTCCCAAGTTCCCTGATTGAACCAGCTTTCCTGGCATCATCTCTGCTGCATAGTCTGCCCACTGCAAGAGTACAACGAGTGTGTCAAAGCAGTTCCACTTCCTGAAGCCAAACTCAACCAGATGCTGCATGAGACACAACCATAATCTGGAAATGCCGATGAAACCAATGTTTGGCATTGTTGACAGATGACAGCAATGCAATAACCAAGGTGCCAATCGCTGTCCCGCCAGAAGAAGTGTAGACCTTTTTGGCTCTGTTTCGACAGCATGAAAATGGCGTTTTCGGTCTCATTTTGTTCGAAATTCTGTTGTTTGATCCTTTTTTGATGACTCCCTGTAAAACTGTGTTATCAACGCAAATCCCACTCTTCGCAAGAACTGTTCCCCGAGTTCCACAGTAGGGCAACTGGTTGAGGCAAGTGGCAACCATACACATAGAGTTTGCAACAAACTTCGATGGTGAAAACGATACCTTAGCCGGAGAGGACATCAATGTGAAGCTCGGGATATGCCGCAGGAATCCGCAGGACGTGTTTGCCTTTTTTTAGGAAGTTCCAAGATGTTACAAGCACCTGGAATTCGCTCAGAAAATGTCTTGATTTCATACAAGCCACAAAACGCGTGGTTGACAACACCGCACCATGGCAAGGAGCCTCGGTACCAGAAACAGTTTTTGTTGCTGCTAGCCTGCTGCCATCTGCCAGATCTGTGTCAAGCCACTTGCTCCGCCATGCTGGGCGGCATAGTCTGTCTGCGCCCCGATCAGAATGGCATTCATAAAGACCAGGATGGAGACCTTGGAGGGTTGAAATATGCTTGAATCTGCTTGCATAGGATGTATATCATACATAAGCATACATAAGCTATAGCTTATATTCAAATGACTTATGATATTTATATATATATATATATACAGTAATTAAATGTGTATATACATATATATATATATACATATATGTATATGTATATGTATATGTATATGTATACTTGAGAGGGGGAGGACGAAAGGTAGGTGGGGATATCTCTCAACAACTTTTTGCGTTCATTCTGTTTTATATATATCGAACTTTCCCTTCCCCCTAGGTGCCTCTTAACTTCCTGCATCCATTTCGTTTCATACGTAGACTTCCCCTATTGGCCTCTCCGCCACTTCTTACGTTTTTGCTGTTGCAATATCCGAACTTCCCCGGCATCAACAACTTCTTGCATGCATCTTGTCTCAATATCTAAATTCCACCCACCCCGTGCCATAGTCAGTAATAAGAACCACAAGCAAGATAATGTTAGTCAGTTTGTTGGCAACCTATGTGAATTAGAGGGGCCAAGGTGCCTCAACCGATCGACGCTCGGTTGAGGCACTTTGCGTGTAGGTCTTTATGGATGTAACCTTCATGCGGCTAAGTGCGTGAAGATGTCTGAAGCAAAAACAACATCAACAATTGCAGGAGACGAAACCGTCCTTGTTTCGTGGGAACTATTAAAAAGCTTGCGGCTCAGGGATAAGTGTCGCTGCGAAGGGGCATAATGCTATTGGTTTCTTTCCTGCATCAATTTCGTTTCATACGTAGACTTCCCCTATTGGCCTCTCCGCCACTTCCTACGTTTTTGCTGTTGCAATATCCGAACTTCCCCGGCATCAACAACTTCTTGCATGCATCTTGTCTCAATATCTAAATTCCACCCACCCCGTGCCATAGTCAGTAATAAGAACCACAAGCAAGATAATGTTAGTCAGTTTGTTGGCAACCTATATGAATTAGAGGGGCCAAGGTGCCTCAACCGATCGACGCTCGGTTGAGGCACTTTGCGTGTAGGTCTTTATGGATGTAACCTTCATGCGGCTAAGTGCGTGAAGATGTCTGAAGCAAAAACAACATCAACAATTGCAGGAGACGAAACCGTCCTTGTTTCGTGGGAATTATTAAAAGGCTTGCGGCTCAGCGATAAGTGTCGCTGCGAAGGGACATACTGCTATTGTTTTCTTATCTAACATGAGCATTGTCCATGACCTGTGAAGAACATCGAATGGTCTCGTAAAGTATTCCAGTTGGAGCATGGAGCTCAGCTGCGTGTCTGTGATGCGCGTAGAGCACCGAATTGAGAAGAAAGTTAAGGGACCATAACCCCACAAGTCAACTTCTTCCAATAATGATCAACAAATTTGCAGCGGGGACGGGAAGGAAGGAAAGACAAAGGAGGAGGTGGAGGAAAAATGGTTTGTGACAAAGTTGTGTGTGTGAAAGATGGTGTGGTGAAAGATGGTGTGTGTAAGATGGTGTGTCACGTCAAAGATTGTGTGTGAAAGATGGTGTGTGACAAAGTGGTGTGTGAAAGATCATGTGTCAAAGATGGTGTGTGACAAAGTGGTGTGTGAAAGATGGTCTGTGACGGTGTGTGAAAGATGGTGTGTCGCGAAGTGGTGTGAAAGATGGTGTGCCAAAGATGGTGTGTCAAAGATGGTGTGTGAAAGATGGTGTGTGAAAGACGGTGTGTGACAAAGTTGTGTGTAAGATGGTGTGTCAAGGATTGTGTGTGAAAGATGGTGTGTGACAAAGTGGTGTGTGAAAGATCATGTGTCAAAGATGGTGTGTGACAAAGTGGTGTGTGAAAGGTAGTGTGTGTCAAAGTTGTGTGTGAAAGAGAGGGTGTGACAAAGTTGTGTGTGAAAGATGGTGTGTGACAAAGTTGTATGAAAGATGGTGTGTCAAAGATGGTGTGTGAAAGATAGTGTGTGAAACATGGTGTGTCACAAAGTGGTGTGAATACCCCAGCGGCGTCCACGGCGCCAAATCCACCCCAAGCGCGCCACCAGAGCCAGCCCAGTGCCATACGTGCCACGCCGGCCACACAAAGTGGAGGTGTCGCCAAGTGCCACGCCTGCCAAGCAAAGCGACGCTCGATGTCGCCAAGTAACCCAAGCGCGCCACCAGAGCCAGTCCAGTGCCAGAAGTGCCGCGCCTGCCACGCAAAGTGAAGGTCCATGTCGCCAAGTGCCACGCCTGCCACGCAAAGCGACGCTCGATGTCGCCAAGTGCCACGCCTGCTACGCAAACAGCGGTGTGTGTGTGTGGACAAGTTGCATGTGTAGACGTATGTGAGGAAGTTGTGTGTGAGGAAGTTGTGTGAGGACAAGGTGTGTGTGTGGACAAAGTGTGTGGTTGTTGTGTGTGAGTAAGTTGTGTGTGAGCAAGTTGTGTGAGGACAAGTTGTGCGTGGACAAGTTGTGTGTGGACAAGTTGTGTGAGCATGTGTGTGAGTAAGTTGTGTGTGGACAAGTTGTTTGAGCATGTGTGTGAGTAAGCTGTGTGTGAGCAAGCTGTGTGACGACAAGTTGTGTGTGGACAAGTTGTGTGTGAGTAAGTTGTGTGTGAGCAAGTTGTGTGAGGACAAGTTGTGTGTGCACAAGTTGTGTGTGGACAAGTTGTGTGTGGACAAGTTGTGTGTGAGCAAGTTGTGTGTGAGCAAGTTGTGTGAGGACAAGTTGTGTGGTTGTGTGTGCACAAGTTGTGTGTGGACAAGTTGTGTGTGAGCAAGTTGTGTGAGGACAATCCATTTTTGGGCGCGGACCAGGGGGGAATCGAATGGGCCGTGGCTTGGACGGCTCTGGCCTATGTGACGCTGTCCTTGTGTACAATATATTGTACAATTGTACCACATGCAAACGTGCTCCAAGACGGCATTGTCACAGAGAAGCAAATATCCACCTTGTCCAGTATGCTGCGTGCATCGCGTAAAGGAACCTGGTGCGCCTGGCTTAGCGAGGAGGCGCGCTGCGCTGCGTCCGCATGCATGGTCCGCGTGGTCCGTGCGCGCGGTGCGCGCGGTCCGCGCGGTCCGCGCGGTGCGCTTGGTGCGCGTGGTGCGCGTGGTGCAGGCGGTCCGCGTGGTCCGCGTGGTCCGCGTGGTCCGCGTTGTCTGCGTGGTGCGCGTGGTATACGCGTGGTGCGCGTGGTCGCGTGGTCCGCATGTCCGTGGTCCGCGTGGCGCGTGGTGGCGCGTGTGGGCGTGGTGGTGGTCCGCGCGTAGGTGGTCGGCGTGTGGTGCGCGTGGTGCGCGTGGCCGCGTGCTCGCGTGGGGCGTGGCGCGCGTGGTCGCGTGAGTGCGCGTGGTCGCGTGGTCCGCGTGGTCCGCGTGGTGCGCATGGGTCCGCGTGGTTTGCGTGAGTGCGCGTGGGTCGCGTGGTGGGTGGTTCGCGTGGTGCGAGTCGCGGTCGTGGTCCGCGTGGTGCGCGTGGTGCGCGTGGTGCGCGTGGTGCGCGTGGTCCGCCTGGTCCGCGTGGTCCGCGTGGTGCGTGGTGCGCGTGGTGCGCGTGGTGCGCGTGGTCCGCCTGGTCCGCGTGGTGCGCGTGGTCCGCGGGGTTCGCGTGGTGCGCGTGGTGCGCGTGGTGCGCGTGGTCCGCGTGTTGCGCGCGGTGCGCGTGGTCCGCGTGCATGGTCCGCGCGGTCCGCGTAGCAGCCAAGAAAGATATTGAAAGTACAAGGCCTGACGCGTAGCAGCCAAGATGGTTCAAGTTTAAGGACAAGATCTTACACGGTAGCATCCAAGATGATTGAAAGACCAGGCGGGGATTTTACAACAGCAAAGCGCCCAAGATGATTGAAAACTAAGGACACGATCAGACAGCATAGCATCAAAAATGGTTGAAAGCTAAGGACCAGATCTTACACCGTTGAATCCAAGATGCTTGAAAGCACAAGATCTTTCAGCGTAGCAGCAAAGATGTTTGAGAGTGAAGGACAAGTTCTTACAGCGGAGTATCCAAGGTAATTGAAATTATGGAAAAGATCTCACACCGTAGCGCCCAAGATGATTGAATGCTAAGGTCGACGTCTTACTCCGTAGCATCCAAGATCACGCACATTGTTTGAGAGTTGAGAACAATATCTGGTTATGTAGCATCCAGATCTTCCAAGATGTTGCTGTTCTTTCTCCTCTTCTTGTTATTGCGATTCTTGTGGACAAGAGCTTACAGCGTACCACCTAACATGTTTGAAGGTGGTGGACAAGATCTGACAGCCCAGCACCCAAGATGATTGAAAGTTAAGGACAGGTCTTACAGTGTGTCATCCAAGATGGTTGAAAGTTAAGGACAAGATCTTTCTTGGTAGCACCAATTACATGTTTGCAAGCTAAGGGCAAGATCTAACACGGTAGCATCCAAGATGATTGAAAGATCAGGTCAGGATCTTACAGCGTGGTATCCAAGATGATTGAAAATTAAGGACCAAACTTTCCAGCATAGCAACAGGGATGTTTGAAAGTTACGGACCAGACCTTACAGCGTAGCATCCAATGTGCTTGAAAGAACAAGATCTTACGGCGTAGCATCCAAGATGATTGAAAGTTAAGGGCAAGACCCTTCAGCATAGCAACAAGGATGTTTGAAAGGTAAGGAGGAGATCTTACACTTACACAGTAGCATCAATGGTGTTTGAAGATTAAGAGTAAGGTCTTGCAGCGCAGCATCACAGATTTTTGAAAACCAAGGGCAAACAGCGCAGCACCAATGATGTTCGTATTTTATTCGAACAAGATCTTGATTCAAGATCATCCAAGATATTGAACAGTTACGGCAAAATTATTTTTGGGTAGCGGCTAGCGCCCAGGTCTTCCAAGAACTTGCTGTTCTTTCTCTTGTCTTCGTTCTTGTTGTTAATGTTGTTGTTGTATGTTGTTGTGGTTGTTGTTGTGGTTGTTGTTGTTGTTGCTATTGCTGCTGCTGCTGCTGCTGCTGTCGTCGTCGTTGTCGCTGTGGTGGTTGTGGTGGTTGTGGTGGTTGTGGTCGTTGTGGTCGTCTTGGTGGTTGTGGTGGTTGTGGTGGTTGTGGTGGTTGTGGTGGTGTTGGTGTTGTTGTTGTTGTTGTCGTCGTCGTCGTCGTCGTCGTCATCGTCGTCCTTGTCGTCGTCGTCATTGTGGTGTTCTTCTTCTTTTTGTTCTTCTTCTTCTTCGACTTCTTGTTGTTGTTATTGTTTTTGTTCTTGCTTTTGTTCTTCACTTTGTGTTTGTTTTTGTTTTGATGTTGCAGTTCTTGTTCTTAGTTTTGTTCTTGTGGTTGTGCTCTTCTTCTTCTGTTCCTTGTTCTGTTTCTTGTTCTTGCTCTTGTTCTTTATCTTGTTCTCCTTGTGTTCATTGTTCTACGTGTTCTTCTTGTTCTTGTTCTTCGTGTTCTTTCTGTTCTTGTTTTTTTTTATCGTTGTTGTTCTTGCTCTTGTTTAAAGTAATTGTTGCAAGGTTTGGTCACGACATCTGCCACGCACCTTGCCACTTTCTGTGGAAATTTACATGCAAAATGCCGGACGCCCCGGATACCACCTCGATTGATCGCCGGACCTTCACCATTATCGTACGAACCCCTCTTGCTTTTCTTGTTGCTATTCTTGTTGTTCTGGTTCTTATCCTTCGTGTTCTAATGTTTCTTTTTTCTTGCTCTTGTTGTTTTTACAAGGTTGTTGTTGTTGATTATATATTGTTTTTACAAGGGAAGCGCACATGACCATCGTAAGGGGAACGCCGCACACCAACGGACACGCAGGGGGGACGGGGGAAGGTGGGCATCCAAGATGATTGAAAGTTCAGGGCACGATCTTACACGGTAGCATCAAGAGTGATGGAAAATTAAGGGCAAAGGAGGCCTAACAGCGAAGCAACCAGGATGGTTGAAAGGTCTGAAAGGTATTGAAAGATATTGAAAGTACAAGGCCTGACCGCGTAGCAGCCAAGATGGTTCAAGTTTAAGGACAAGATCTTACACGGTAGCATCCAAGATGATTGAAAGACCAGGCCGGGATCTTTCAGCGTAGCATCAAAGATGTTTGAAAGTGAAGGACTAATTCTTACAGCGGAGCATCCAAGATACTTGAAATTATGAAAAATATCTTACACCGTAGCGCCCAAGATGATTGAACGCTAAGGTCGACGTCTTACTCCGTAGCATTCAAGATCATGCACATTGTTTGAGAGTTGAGAACAATATCTGATTATGTAGCACGTAGCATCCAGATCTTCAAAGATGTTGCTGTTCTTTCTCCTCTTCTTGTTATTGTGATTCTTGTTCCTGTTCGGTAAGGACAAGAACTTACAGCGTATCACCTAACATGTTTGAAGGTTGCGGACAAGATCTGACAGCCTAGCACCCAAGATGATTGAAAGTTAAGGACAAGTCTTACAGTGTGTCATCCAAAATGGTTGAAAGTTAAGGACAAGATCTGACTTAGTAAGGACAAGATCTTGCACAGTAGCATCCAAGATGATTGAAAGATCAGGTCAGGATCTTACAGCGTGGCATCCAAGATGATTGAAAGTTGAGGATCAAACTTTCCAGCATAGCAACAGGGATGTTTGAAAGTTAAGGACCAGACCTTACAGCGTAGCATCCAATGTGCTTGAAAGAACAAGATCTTGCAGCGTAGCATCCAAGACGATTGAAAGTTAAGGACAAGACACTTCAGCATAGCAACAAGGATGCATGATGTCTGAAAGGTAAGGGGAAGACCTTACACAGTAGCATCAAAGGTGTTTGAAGATTAAGGGCAAGGTCTTGCAGCGCAGCATCACAGATTTTTGAAAACCAAGGGCAAGATCTTACACCGCAGCAGCAGCACCAATGATGTTCGTATTTTGTTCGAACAAGATCTTGCATTCAAGATCATCCAAGATACTGGACAGTTACGGCAAAATTATTTCTGGGTAGCGACTAGCGCCCAGGTCTTCCAAGAACTTGCTGTTATTTCTCTTGTTTTCGTTCTTGTTGTTGATGTTGATGTTGATGTTGTTGTTGTTGTGGTGGTGGTGGTGGTGTTGGTGTTGTTGTTGTTGTTGTTGTTGTTGGTTGTTGTTGGTTGTTGTTGGTTGTTGTTGTTGTTGTTGTTGTTGTTGTTGTTGTTTGTTGTTGTTTGTTGTTGTTGTTGTTGTTGTTGTTGTTTTGTTGTTGTTGTGTTGTTGTTTGTTGTTGTTTGTTGTTGTTTTGTTGTTTGTTGTTGTTTGTTGTTGTTTTGTTGTTGTTGTTGTTGTTGTTGTTGTTGTTGTTGTTGTTGTTGTTGTTGTTGTTGTTGGTTGTTGGTTGTTGGTTGTTGGTTGTTGGTTGTTGGTTGTTGGTTGTTGGTTGTTGGTTGTTGGTTGTTGTTGTTGTTGTTGCGTTGCGTCCTTGTCGTCGTCGTCATTGTGGTGCTCTTCTTCTTTTTGTTGTTCTTCCTCTTCTTCTTCGACTTCTTGTTCTTGTTATTGTTTTTGTTCTTGCTTTTGTTCTTCACTTTGTTCTTGTTGTTGTTTTTGTTGTTGATGTTGCAGTTCTTGTTCTTAGTCTTGTTCTTGTGGTTGTGCTCTTCTTCTTGTTCTTGTTCTGTTCCTTGTTCTGTTTCTTGTTCTTGCTCTTGTTCTTTATCTTGTTCTCCTTGTGTTCATTGTTCTACGTGTTCTTCTTGTTCTTGTTCTTCATGTTCTTTCTGTTCTTGTTTTTTCTTGTTGTTGTTCTTGCTCTTGCTTAAAGTACGACATCTGCCACACACCTTGCCACTTTTTGTGGAAATTTACATGCAAAATGCCGGACGCCCCGGATACCACCTCGATTGATCGCCGGACCTTCACCATTACTGTACGAACCCCTCTTGCTTTTCTTGTTGCTTTTCTTGTTGTTCTTGTTCCTATCCTCCGTGTTCTAATGTTTCTTATTTCTCCTTGTTGTTCTTGTTTTTTAACAAGGTTGTTGTTGTTTGTTGCTTTTACAAGGTCCAAGTCGCATAGGCCGGAACTGTCCATCACACGGGTGGGGGCCCCCCGTGCCATTGACGGTTGGCGTCGATTTTGCGGCACCACTTCTTGTGCATGTAGGCAGGGTGGAATGGGTTAAGGTGTCTCGATACATGTAGCTGTAACCTGCAACTCTCTTTATGCGGCGCCACTTTCAGAGCATGGGTGCTTTGCATTGTGGCTCCATCGGCCTCATCGGCTCCATCCATCAGCGGCCTCATCGGCTCCATCGGCCTCATCGGCCTCATCCGCTCCATCGGCCTCCTCGGCCTCATCGGCTCCATGCAGCGGCTCCATCGGCCTCATCAGCTCCGGATCCATCGGCTCCATCGGCCTCATCGGCTCCATCCATCGGCTCCATCGGCTTCATCGGCTCCATCGGCCTCATCGGCTCCAGCAGCTCCATCGGCCTCATCGGCTCCAGCGGCTCAGTCGGCTCCAGCGGCCTCATCGGCTCCATCAACCTCATCGGCCTCATCAGCTCCATCGGCCTCAGCGGCTCCATCGGCCTCAGCGGCTCCATCGGCCTCATCGGCGTCATCGGCTCCAGCGGCCTCATCGGCTCCAGCGGCTCCATCGGCCTCACCGGCTCCAGCGGCTCCGTCGGCTCCAGCGGCCTCATCGGCTCCATCGGCCTCATCGGCCTCATCGGCTCCATCGACCTCATCAGCTCCGGATCCATCGGCTCCATCGGCCTCATCGGCTCCATCCATTGGCTCCATCGGCCTCATCGGCCTCATCGGCTCCATCGGCCTCAGCGGCTCTAGCGGCCTCATCGGCTCAATTGGCCTGATCGGCGCCAGCGGTTCCAGCGGCTTCATCGGCATGTCTTTCTGGAAAGCCTATTACGGCCCGAAGCAGGCGGAATCAGTTGCGTCCATTTTGCGCCTATGGTTTGCTTCTGCCTTTTGATTAGTATTGATCCATAGCCTCTTGGCTTGCGATATAGCCTCCAAGTGTCGAACGTACGGCCCCCCCCCCAAGTCTCCGTTCGTGACTCTCAGTTTTCAATTTCCGGGAAAGGGCCAGCCACCTCCCCCAGTACTAAACTAGTACTAAAGTACATAGAACTCAGGTACCTAGGCTACCTTTCGTGATGTATATGTATATGTATATGTATATGTATATGTATATGTATATGTATTATATATGTATATATGTATGTATTAAATATATATATATATATCATTAAATGCATCATATATTATCTTATATTATACTATATTAATCATTGTATTATATGTATCATTATCTTTTTTTTAAAATGAATTATTGTATTATTATTAAATTACTTATTATTATATTAATTGTTACAGTAAAATGTACTGATGATTATATGAAATTATTTTATTAAACTAATTATTAATTGTATGAATTATTTGATTAATTATTTTATCAACTATTCTATTAATAATTAAGTTAATCGTTAAATTATTGTATTGTATTGTATTGTATTAAATTAAATTATATTATATTATATTCTATCATATCATATCATATTGTATTACATTGTATTGTGTCACATAATTATTATCTTTATTATTATTGTATATATATATATATAAATAAGTCATTATTTTCAACATATTCATATATATATTTTTATATGTATATATTTATATGTATATTTATATTATATTATACATATATTCTATTATATATTGTATCATATATAGCAGAACATACATATAATAGAAACATGTATAATATAATGTAGTAAAATAAAATGCTTTGCAAGATAACATAACAGAACATTATAAGAATATGATATCATATGGCATTATTTATGATATGATATGATATGATATGATATGATATAACATAGTACAATATAATCCGTTTTAAGACAAGATAACATAACATAAGATAACATAACATGGCAAAACATATTACAATACACCAAATAATATAGTATAATTGATACAATACAATATGGTATGAGACAAAAAATACAATATTATAAAATACAATACAATACATGTTGTCCCGTGCTCCCTCTTCCTGTTTTCCACTCTCCTGCGGCTGCTGTATGTGAATTGGCTGCTCATCGCAGACAAAAGAAAAGGGTGAGCTGGCCAGCCGCTAAAATGCAGGAAACTGCACATTGATCACGGCCAAGTGATATTCGATTCAAATTTTGTCCGCAAAACCTGCCAGGCCTACAGCAAACACTAGTGTTAAAAACACAGGAGGCTGTGCGCCTAGCCAGAACATTCGAACAGAATGGGCAACAGCGCCCTGAGAGCTTGGATGTTGTATCTGCACTCAACACTCAAGGAAGGAAGAATGGATCCAGCAGTAGTCTCCTGAAGATAAAACCCTAAGGTTTTTGTATGTTGCAACCTCATTCTCCAGCAACGATCTTGAATCTGCATTCCTTTCTTATGAGCCCAGACGCATCCGCCGTTGAAGTCCTCTTCCATCTTCTCTTCCATGCTCTGAAAAAGCAACTCCGGCTTCTCCGTCAGAGCCGCCTTCAGGCGCTGGTATGCAGCTGCTTTGCTGCGACCCCCCGAGCTGCTGCTCGTAGGATCCCCGCTGCTGCCATCGATCAAGATGCCCTCTAATCCCCTGCTGTTCTTCTTCTCCTTGGCTAAACTGCTCACAAGTTTCGTGAGCTGAACCACGGCTTTCTCCACGGCGTGGCTCGGGCACTGATCTCTCGCTTCCCCCTGCTCCTCCAAAATTGGCTCGCCCTCTTCATCCTCCTCGGGCTCTGAAAGCACATTGACTCGCTTCTTCGGCCCCAGTCGCCTACTCTGGGAGGCGACTTGGTCATCAAAGACGCAAGCCGGGCCAGCTGTCCTTCGGGAATTCCGGCAAGTCGAGCCGAAGCCAACACACCAGGATCCAGACCTCCATACTTTGGAAGCTCGCCGACTCTGCCTTTTGGTGGAGAGCTTCGAGATTCTTCAAGCTTCTGCCCAAGTTTGCTCGGCAGGTCCTCTAGCTGCTGTCTGATCAAAGAAAACTAGCTTTCGAGAGCTGCAAGCCGATCTTCTACAGGGCCGCCCTCCTTCTTAGAGAGGAGTTTCCATATGGCTTTCTGCAGGGTAAAAACTGAATTGCTCGTTCACCACCCTTACCAAAGACTCCGCTGTGGGAAGACCGGCATGACCTAAACCATCTGCAAAATCCAAAGCATCTTCGTCTTCGGACTTCTCCAATTGCAGCTGTGCAATTATAATTCTTTCTCCAAAAGCCCAACCCATACCTTCAATGTAGTGACGTCACCCTCTACAGCAGTCGAGGCCGGTACTTCGACCGACACAGGCCTTGAAAGAGCTGTCCTTGGAAGGAACCGGCAAGCAATCTGCCGATGCCAAGCGCCTGATAGCACTGCAACCAAAAGTTGATTCTCAAAAAATGTAATGGGAACAAGATGAATGATCGCCTTGGCAACACCCGTGGAACAATCTAAATGACAAAGATGCACCTCCTCAGCTGTACCTTCGCACTATAGAGGAGAAGTGCTTCTAAGGTCACCTTTCCCTCGTCTGCCTCCATCTGCTGACTCAGATCCTGGGCCAATCAATCCCGGCCTCGTCGCAGGCTAGCTGAGCCTCCCACTGAGTTGCAAACCTAAGCAACGAACATGCTGTTCCCACACGAAGGTCCCCTTTTGCAAATCTGAGCAACCGTGCCGAACTCCTTGACCGCGCGAGGAGCTATCAGGTTACCCTCAAAATCAGCCAAAATCAGGTAGAGCCTAGACTCCTCCCCGAAGGCCCACGATTGTCGCCGTTGATGCAGCGACGCAAATAGCGGCCGATGCAGCAAGTTCTGCTCAGCCCTCTTTGTCCGAGGCCAAGACCGGCTCAGCCGAAGTTGAGCCCTGAGAAATCACTGTATACCCATTGCTGTCTCCTCACGATCGCGCACAGACCCAGCTCGGGAAAAAGGACCTCAAGCTGTTTCGAGCGCCTCCACCCGATCTCGCACCTCAGTCAAATTCAAGCGCGCTGACTCTAGCAGCTGCCTCAGGCTCTCAATCTCAGTCCTGAGAGCCCTAATTTCACCCGAGCTCATTCAAGAACTCGGTAGTTAGACTCCTTGGGCACGAAATCGAGCTCTGATCTGCAGAGCCCAAAGTTGTCGCCAAAACCGGTCCCAAAAGCAGCCCTAAGCCTATCAAAATGCCCAAAAGCAAGCTGGGATAATCCAAAGTCCAGTAAACAGGAGGATGAAAAATCAGAAACTGACATGCGGCGGGCCAGAAGCTTTCCTGTAGGCGCCCTCCAGGTTGAGAAGTGAACATGCTATGCGCATGCAAAATGGGACATGGATGTTTTTCACCCGTCCTCAGGTGCAACTTTACCGCTGTTTTTCAGCAGCTTCCTATTGTGACGGCCAGCACGAATTGCGATCTTCTTCTGAATGGCTTCATCACTTGGAGCTACCTTCCAGCGGCACTGTTCAAGTGCTTCCAGCAAAAGTTCACGTTCGCATCCTTGTTTGGTTAACACATCCACCAGCATCTGGCTCGTATCGAGCCAAATCGGTTCGCATTCATCATTCATCAGCTCTCGGATTAAGGCTATCAAAATCTTCACCCTCTTATCCGATGGCTGGCCAGCGTCCTTCGTGATCGTGCTCTCAAGGCTTTTGGCGTCGGTGAACGCCAGAATCTTCTTAAGGGCATACTCAGTCTCGAGCGTAGTGATGCTGATGCCAGGATTCAAGATCTCGCACAAAAGAGATACAACGTAGATTGCGCCCTCAACGCAAGCAAGGAAGGCGTTGCTCTCAGCCGCCAGTGTGCTTCTGCACACCCTTTTTGATGGAGGAGGAATTGGCCTCGAGGATCAAGACAGGGGTCTCGTCACCATCTTTCAGCTCAGGGAGGCTCAGTCCAATCACATAGCCACACTGGGATTTCAATCCTTCAGTGTTGGCAAAGCTGGAGTCCGCGCAAACGAAGACAATGCAGTCCTCTAAGGTGATCTTGGAGGACTGGCTCTTTTCGGTCTCATTCAGAGGAAGGTTTGGGAACTTCCTTCGATGTTTGTCCAAAACCTCCTTCAATCGCATCGACCTGCTCCAAGGAGATTGACTTGTCGTCGCCTTGGACCAAGTTCTTTCCACAAAAAAGAAACTCACCATCCTTGTGCTTTAAGTGGAGCTTCTCGGTGAGGATCTTCATCACTGAGTCGTACTTGGGGCCAAAGCCACATGTAATGAGATCATCAACATGGCTGCCCATGATTCCAGCCAAAACTTCTTTTCCAGATTCATCCAAATCATACTGGTAAAAGAGTGCAAGTTCCAGTTTGGAGAGGCGCCAGCCACATTCTTGAGCATCACGTGAAAGTTTGATCCACCAACTTCGGCCGGCATCTTTCGTTCTATAAAGGCTGACACGGGCCCTGAAGAGCGTGCCCGGAAGGACTCCTGGTGGAGGTGGATGCGCAGAATCAGCAATCTGGAGATGCCACTGCTCTTCAGGTAGGCCGTTGAAGCATCATATGAGGCTATGATCCAACCCTTCAACACGGCCACGGCGCAAACAAGGTTGAAGGAGAGCAGGGAACATGTTGGAGAATCTGATCTGATGTTTTGTTCATCCTCCTGACATCCTTGAACTACCAATCTTGACTTTGCTTCAAAAGGATAATCACGATCAACTTGTTCTTTTGATTTCCCTGTCTTCCTAGCCATGTGATATGCTATCAACCTAGGTTTGCTATTTTTGTCAGTGTGGACCCACCTGGTGCCAATGATTTTGGTCTCCGGTGGCAAGCTATTGATCTCCTCCTCAGACAGCTCCTGGACGGCATCGAAACATTGCCAGGAAGTCCACTCCTTCTGCATGGAAACGTCAAAACGAGCTCGGTCAGAAGGATCAAGCTGCCTGATGTTGATCTCGCTTTTGGCCGCTTTGCCGGTCATGTAGGCGAACTCAGTGTTGAGGTAGTTGTACAAGTTCACAGTGTGGCCATCATCCTTGATCACAACGTCGTCATCATCATCATCATCATCATCGCTTGACGCATCACGCAGCTTTTGAAGTCGAAGGCGCTTCACCGAGGCTTGCAGTCCAGGGCAAAAGTCTTCCCAGGGCTCATCATCAGCAAGGTAAGGGCCTCGAAACTCTTGGTATGTTGGATCAGGAGCACGTTGTGGTCCATAGCCATGTGCGTCAAGTCGATTTGGCTGTCGCATCGCTGTGTTCAAGGGTGTTCTTGGCGCAGCATGTGGATTTCGCTGTCGCATTGCTGGGGCCGAGGGTGTTCTCGGCGCAGCATGTGGTGTTGGTGGCACAGCTGGTGCCGGTTCAGGTTCATCTGTTGTGATTTGTCGTTTGTGTGTCGTAATTGGCAAACGTAGTGGTGTATGTTGTTGTGGTTGCTGTGCTGGCTGTTGCATTGGTAGTGGAGCTGCTGGTTGTTGTTGTGGAGCAGTTTAAACTTCACGGTCAAGTGCATCTTCAACGTCCCAATCATCATTGGGTACTGGTGGAAGCTCTGCATCAGTGGCTGGTGGAGCCTGTTGATGTGCTCCACCACTTGGTTGTGCTGGGGCTGAAGGTGAGCTTGGTTCATGCCCTTGTCCATTTCTTGTTGTTGTTCTTGTTCAGGTGGCTGTTGCGGCGGAGGTCCAAAAGGCCGCGCGTCAACAAAGGACTTGGCACCTCGCAGCTGCAAGTTGGCCACGGCATAGTGGGGCACCGTGTGCGCAGCCAAAAGCTCATCTTCACTGCCAAAGCCATCTTCAAGCGCAGCCAGTCGTCAGCACCACATATCGCAACCAGTAGGAGTGAGGCGCACTCCCTTCAGTTGCCACATCTTCATCTTCCAGTCGGCGAGGATTCCGCAGCTCAACACCAATCACCCTTGCGGGTCCAAACCACTTGTATAGATTCTTGAAGTCCCAGGCTGTTGTTGAGTCTTGAAGACATAGACGTAGGCACCAACTGGAAAGGGACCACGCACTGGTGTGGATTTGCTCAAAAGAGCACGTCGGACTCTGGCGTCCGTGTCCATGCGTATCTGAGCCACCTTTGCGTTCTCTCGGATGTTCAGGGTCTTGGCCATCTGGCTAGCGGGGTTCTCTGCTGCTTCCATCACTTCAAGTTGTTGAGACTCAGTGGAGTTGAGAAGGGAACCAGGAAGTCGAAGTTCAGGAACACCCAAAACCCACTGGAGAGGGGTGTAGCCACTTGTTCTGGGAAATGAGTTGCGTGTCTGGGTGATGATGGTGGTTGCGGTCAAAACATCATCAAGACCGCTGGTTTGTGAGTCTTGGACCACCTTCATCCAGACTTCTTTCCACAGGTGGCCAGCCTTTTCACATCGGCCATCCTTCCAAGGTGCTTTAAGTGGCATCACCTCTTGCTCCACGCCCAACTGCTTCAAGTTGTCGGCAAAGATGGTCATGTACTCCTTGCCACGATCCACTTGTAGTGAAGTGGGAAGGCCAGCCCATGCAGACCATGCTGTCGTGAAATGTCGTAGGACAGCTCGTGAGGCAGGAGGACCTTGAAGTTCACCAAAGCAAGTGACCATTCGAAATCCAGTGGCATCGGTGTTGAGGAAGGCAAAGGCTGCACCCCTGATGTCCTTGGCATAGAAGGTGTCAAGCATGAGGTGCCTGTTGCCCTCGTATTGGTTCGGAAGTCGCACTGGTCGAGGTCGTTTTCTTCTGATTGACTTGCCACGGTTATCACAGGCCAAAAGTCCAGCAGCCTTGATAGCTTCAGGTTTGGCTCCTTGTCTTCGCAAGATTCTTTGGAGGGTCACTGCAGTAGGATGTCCAAAATTGACATGAAGATCACGGACAATCTTGCGAATCTCTGGTGATATCCCTAGCCATTCGACACGCCTTTGAGCTTCGGACTGATTCAAAATGGGATCCAGCTCTTGGGCTTGGCGTGCTTGATGGCCATGGTTGTCTTCCTCTTCCGGAGGTTGTTGTGGATCAGGGTGGCTCTCTGCAGTGGCATCAGGTCTGATGTAGACCGGTGGTGCTTGGAATTGGTCAGTTAGAGTTGCCACCCGTCCTTTTCTCCTGGGCCGTTTTGTCCAGCAGGAGCAGGTCTTGTAGGGAAGACATCATGTGCAGCAGCCAGAGACTCAAAGACAGTCTGCTCAATGTGGGCCTGTTGGATAGCGCATTCCAAAACCAACTGATCCAACTGGCGTGGCCATTCAGCGGCTTGAGCAGTCCTGGGACCATACTTGTTGGCACCCTCAAGTGGTTGATGTTGGGAGCAGTTGCAAACGCACTCAGAAAAGATTGACTCAGCAGCCATCATAGTGGTCAGGTAAAAGCTGGGTTTCTTGTTGGGAAGTCCCTTTTCTCTGTCCTTGTACCCAACCTGACATCCATCAACCTTGAGTGCCAGCAAAGATCCATCCTCCACCAATGCCCTGACGTCAGCCATCTCCGGTTTCTCGATGCTTTCAGAGCCATAGGGTTGTTCAACAAAAACATGTCTCTTGGCTTTCACTCGATCTTTGATCACCTTGTTGACCAGAGCAAGGAGAGGCTTTGAGTCCTCTCGGAGGGACAAAACGGTCTCCGCTGCAGAACCACCACGTGCTATGTTGAACTTGGACCAACTTCCCCAAGGACCGCACGGATGTGTGATGACCGTGAGGTAAGGGTCTTCTGCAGCCATGTCCTTGTGAAGGCGAGCAAGTCCACCTTGTGAAGTGGCATCCCAAGAAGAGCTTGATGAGTCCAAGGGGACACCAGTGATCATGCCATAGAGCGCGGCCATGACCGTCAGGCCCATCTGGCCGGCGAACAGCTGCTTGATCCCAGTCTTTCCCGCAGGGGGTTGTCTGGCAACATGTGGCTTCTTCTGACCTTGAAGCTTCTGAGCCCTCGACAAATCTTCGGACTCCAAAAGGTTGCACATGGTCTGAAGCTTGTTGCCCTTGCGGTTGGTGGTCTTTCTGACTGTGAAGCTTCCATCGGAGACCATCTGCCAAAAGGACTCTTCATCTTCGCAGATCATGCCGTAGTTCACTGGTGAGTCAGTGGCTGAGTCCCCTGGTCTCCATCAGGCGGTGGGCGTAGAAGGTCAAGTTCATCACAAAGTCCCCAGTCATACTCTGGGTCATACGGTGGATAGTTGCCACCCGTACTGGACATAGCATCGCTTGGAAGTGAGTAGTCGCGATGCATCTGGCTCTTGGTCGCCATTATTGGACGACGGGCAAAATCCAGTGCCCTTGGGCTCAAGTCCAGGAGCCTCAGGCCTAAGTCCAGAGGCCTCTGCAGAGAAAGTCCAATCTGCAGCTTCCAGCTTGGGAATGGCAAAGCTGGGAAAAGAGCCATGTGGGTCGTCGCCACAGTCCAAAAGGCTGACGGCCGTGATGTCTTGATCAAAGGAAAATTCTGAACGCCCAATGCCTTGAAGGAAACTGTGCTGTTGGAGAGGTCGGAGACAGTCTCGCCACCAACGCCTCGGAAACGCTGAAGCTTGCTCTTGGTCTGGGGCATCAGGTCATACTGCTTGAGAGCATCTTCAAAAGCAGAGGACCACTCGCTGCCATGCATAGTTCTTGTGCAGCCACTGTCCAAGATTGCAAGTCCGGGCGCATCAGAAGCCGTGAGCGCATAGTTCACGGTGACATCGACTGAACCGTCGGAAAAGTCCACAAGGTCACCATGCTGTTCATCGGCATTTTCACCGATCATCACATCACAAAAATGAACAGAAACATGTTGAAAATCTAAGGGATTTTGTTGAAGTGGAACTTGAATGGCTCGTGCTGCTTCCATGGCACTGGGGTCTTGAGTCCTCTTGCCAAGAAGTTGATGTGGCTCCATAGAACTTGACTTCAGCAACATCATCGCAGAAAGGGAGACCAACTTCAACCTGGCATAGAGGTATGCAGCAAAACGATAAACCTCAGCTGCCACTGGCTTGTTCGTCAAAGCCATTTCTATGACCTGTGTGGCATACATGACATCCTCAGGTGCTGGGTAGGAAGCAACTTCCACAAAACTTCGTCCTTGAAAAGGGCCTTCTTCAAACGTGGTCATGTCGCATGGAAGTGGTTGCATGATGTGCAGCTCTGACTCAGGCAGCTCAGGAAGTGGAGGCAACTCTTCATAGGGGTTGATCTTGACACCATACAACCAAACGTCAACCCTTCCTCACGATCTGGAGCACCGCTGTGATGTCGTAGAAGCAGCAGAAGATAGAGCAGCCTGATCTGAAATGAGATGCCAGCCAGCAAGTGACGTAGTGCTCCTCATTGGCGGTGTAAATCCAGGTGGCTTCTTGGAGACGGTTTCCTCCTCCAAAGCCTTGAAAGTCAAAGATCCAACATGGGCTGCAAGTTCGCGGGAACGAGAGGGCTGTCCCCACTTGGTGCACATCGCAACTTAAACTAGGTATGACCACAACTGCAAAGGCTCTTTTCTGCGACCTTGAATCACATTGCGGCCACATTCTTTGCAAGCAATGTGCCTCGTATGTCCATTGGCTCCACGGTGGAATTGTTTTTCTGCACCGCTGTGGTATGATGAATGTTCACAAAGGTGTGGTGCACGAAGGGCCATCAGTACATCATGGCACTGACAGGCAAGGAATCAGTGAAACTGTTGGGCTGCTGAATGCCATTGTTGCCATAGAAGCCGGCAGGGTCAAAGAGCTCGGCATGTTCAAAGGTCTCTGCAGAGATTTGTCATTCACAGAAACTGCCAAGGAGTCATGAACCTGCGCATTCTCAAAAACTGCAAAGGGATCAAGGACCTGGGCATTCACAGAAACGTCAAAGGAATCAAAAACCTGGGCATTCTTTGAAATCTCTCCATTCGCAAGGGGCTGGTCATTCTGGGGCTCTTCGATGAACTGCCTTTTCCACACGACCACGTCCAGCGCCTTTCTTTGATGACTTTGGGCAAACGGAGTCACCAACCCAATGTCCTTTGGCACCGCAAGCTGTGCAGGCTGTGACGGTCTTCAGGAATTTCACAGCTGCCTTGCGCTGATCCTTTGATCTCTGGTCGAAGGACAAATCGCCCTGGGCCTTGAAGGGAAAGGTCTGTTGGGAACCTTGTGGTGAAGGTCCTTGTGAAGGCTTCTTGATGAACTTCTTCTTGAATCCACTGCGATGCTGGGCCAAAGTGGCAAGAGCATCTGCAATCTCACCGCCATTCTCAAGACCTTCATCTGGTAGTTCTCCAATCAGAGCTTCCAGCGCTTCATCATCGGAGTAGGCCACATAGCCATCGTCCTCTGTCGCCTCATACTCAAAAGTATCCTCTTCGGCAAAGGCCTCTTCATCATCATAGACCTCGTCGCCGTCATCCTCAGCAGCTAGAACTTGTTGTTTTCGCTGAAAAGGCTTCCATCGCGGCTTCAGCTGTTGTTGCCCAGATCCACCCAACTCCAAGGTAGTCCTTTCTGGGTACTGCTCTAGTTGACTGCACATTGGGAAATTGAATCCTGAAGGCATGTGAGACCTTCTTGTAGTCGTACTTGTTGTTCACAGACGCTCGAATGCCCTGCTGCTCTTTGAGGTCCAAACCAGAGAACAGCAGCAGCAGCATGCACTTGAGGTTGTCGCTCAAGGAGGTCTCTGCATTGGCTTCTTTGAGCTCTCTTCGAACGATGTATTGCGCCATCGTCTCAGAATTCTGTCGCCAGACCCTAGGGCTGTAAAAGTATTCCAAAAACAGCTCTTGCACCCTCACAGGTGCCTCCAAAGCCAAGCTACCCTTAGGGTGTTCAGAAGGAGCTTCATGCCATCTTCAGTCGCCTTTCCATCAGCGCCTTTCGTCCTAAGCTCTGCATGGCCAAGGCGTCTAACTGATTCGTAGGCACTTCCAGACAATTGCGCTCTCAGGTGCAATGGCGTCGCCACCTGAAGCACATCCTGCCCTTCTCTCCCATAGAACAAGTCCCATGCACGGTCCATGTATTCTTCCAGCATTTCGGGGTCACCTGAGAACTGTGGCACCCCATGCCTGTCAGTGTCCAGCCTGGAGTCAGCCGTAGACATCGTAGTGCAAGGCTTGAAGAATCCCCAAAGATCTCGGCAAGGAGATAGGGAGCGAAGTGCGCAAGCGGCAGCAGCAGCAGCAAGCGAAGCGTCACCTGCTAGGTCAGCAGGCTCCGCTTACCATCAGAAATTGACCTGCGACGGGCCAGCAGCGATGATCTTTCCTGTAGCGGAAAAGGGCGCCCTTGTGCCCACATGTCAGCGGGGAAGTCAACCTGGAGAAGTGAACATGCTATGCACATGCAAAATGGGACATGGATGTTTTTCAAAAAATGTCCTGGATAGTTGGGCAGTTGATAGGTTCCACAAAGTCCCTGCGCACTGAATCACTCACCAATCCTAAGATTGCAGATACGACTCCTCCCGACGCTCCCGCGAGGGCTGCCGGGCACATTAGTTGAGCCAATGAAGCTGGAGCACGCAAGGAAAAACATGGTGGCACCATGTTTAATTATACTACCAGTAGTACCGCACAAGGCGGTGGCGGAAGTTTCAAAAATAGAAATGTATAGGAGAGATTAGTTGTTGTGAATCAGGGATGGCAGAGCGAATCCACTGATGGACCGAAAGGTGCTTGAGGTCTCCTCTCTTTCTCTCTCTTTCTCTGAGCATCTACCATCACCAACCTATATTCTATGTATCTATCTATCTATCGATCTATCTATCTATCTATCGATCGATCGATCTATCGATCTATCGATCTATCGATCTATCTATCTATCTATCTCTCTATCCATCTATCTATCTTTCTAATCTATCTATCTATCTTTCTTTCTTTCTTTCTTTCTAATCCATCTATCTATCAATCTATCTGTCTATCTGTCTATCTGTCTATCTCTATCTATCTATCTCTATCTATCTATCTCTATCTATCTATCTATCTATTTATCCATCTATCTATCTATCTATCTACCTATCTATCTATCTATCCGTCTACCTATCTATCTATCTATCTATCCATCTATCCATCTTTCTATCTATCTATCTATCGATCTATCTATCTATCTTTCTATCTATCTATCTTTCTATCTATCTATCTGTCTATCTGTCGAGCTGTCTATCTGTGGTGCAGTGTCATTCAGTGTAATGTAGTGTAGTGTAATGTAGTGTAGTGTAGTGGACTGTAGTGGAATGTAGTGTAGTGTAGTGTAATGTAGTATGGTGTAGTGTAATTTAGTGTAGCGGAGAGTAGTGGAGTGTAGTTGTGTATTCGTAGTTGTAGTTGTAGTGTAGCGGAGTGTAGTGTAATGTAGTGAAGTGTAGCAGAAGGTAGTGTAGTGTAATGTAGTGTAGCGTAGTGGAGTGTAGTGTAATGTAGTGTAGTGTAATTTAGTGTAGTGGAGTGTATTGTAGTGGAGTGTAGTTGTGTAGTTGTAGTTGTAGTGTATTGGAGTGTAGTGTGGTGTAATGTAGTGAAGTGTAGCGGAAGGTAGTGTAGTGTAGTGTAATGTAGTGGAGTGTAGTGTAATGTAGTATAGTGTAGTGTGATTTAGTGTAGTGAAGTGTAGTGGAGTGTAGTGGAGTGTAGTTGTGTATAGTTGTAGTGTTGTGTAATGTAGTGTAGTGTAGTTTAGTGCAGTGTAGTGGAGTGTAGTGTAATGTAGTGAAGCGAAGCGACATCTGAACCTCCAAAAGTGGTCCGAAACCCTAGTGTTTTGTACGTTTTCACTTCGAAATGTGCTTCGCGCCACGACGGCGTGCACTTTTTCGACATCTGAACCTCCAAAAGTGGTCCGGACCTCGTGTGCTTTGTACATTTTGACTTGGAAATGTGCTTCGTGCCACAACGGCGTACACTTTTTCGACATCTGAACCTCCAAAAGTGGTCCGGACCTCGTGTGCTTTGTACATTTTGACTGCGAAATGTGCTTCGTGCCACAACGGCGTACACTTTTTCGAGATCTGAACTTCCAAAAGTGGTCCGAGAATGGTGTGTTTTGTACATTTTCACTTCGAAATGTGCTTCGCGCCACGACGGCGTGCACTTTTTCGACATCTGAACCTCCAAAAGTGGTCCGGACCTCGTGTGCTTTGTACATTTTGACTTCGAAATGTGCTTCGTGCCACAACGGCGTACACTTTTTCGAGATCTGAACTTCCAAAAGTGGTCCGAGAATGGTGTGTTTTGCACATTTTCACTTCGAAATGTGCTTCGCGCCACAACGGCGTGCGCTTTTTCGACATCTCAACTGCCAAAAGTGGTCCGAACTTCTAGTGCTTTTAACATTTTGACTGGAAACGTGCTTCGCGCCACAACGGCGTGCAATTTTTCATCTCTCATCTGGCCAGCTGGCTCCGCACCCGTCGCTTTAGCGAGCCTACCCAAATCATTGGAAAAACAGAGTGTTTCGCGACTTTCCTACCTTTCTCGCATCTGCATCTTCTTTCTTCTTACTCTTTCTCTTCTACTCTTCTTTCTTCTAATCTTTCTCTTCTCTCTGCCTCTTCCCTGCTCTGCTTTTCATCTGTCCATATTGTCGGAAGTTTGACTTCTAAACTTCCTTCGATAATATATATGTATATAATATATACATATATAAATATATATATATATGATAAAATATGCATACATATGGACCATAGTACCATAAAATTGGTCGAGCAATGTCGAGCACATGATTACTGGCTGTTCACAGAAACGATCATCTGCTGATGCTTGGTCATCAGACATCTGGACATGGTCCAACATGATGCATTGCAGTCATGGAGCGGTATAGTTGAACGAATTGCTATTCCTAGGAAAGGCAGCGCAGGAAACTGTAGCTGTACATGAGAATCAGAACCGCCACAGCAATCTAAAGTCTAGCATTGTTTAAACCTGCTGAGACCCAGGCAACCATCGGTACAAAATTCCTGTCATAAAAAAAGCAAGACTGCTGTTCGAAAAAACAAGCCTTGCAAATACCAAAATCATCCAAAATCCATCATGTCTCGACAGGCGGCTGATAATTCACCTCTATCTTTGCAAACTTTGGATAGGAAAAGAATGGAACCTAGAAACTAAGGTGATCAGCTTTGCAAGGGCCCATTATGCATGACGGAGACATATGAGACTCGACTGCAGGTTTGTTCCCAGCCTCGGACAGTCATGGCTTCATGCTCGGGCAACATGATCTCCCTGCCTGGGAAATCGTCAGCCAATCCCTCATGACTCCATAGACTGTCACAGACTCCATCAAGCCATTTCCAGGCAAAAAAACACCGAAGAAAGAACCAAATAATAACTCTGAGCATTTGGCTCCCGAGTGTATCAGCTGCCGAATCAGCGTCGAAGTCCTCCAGCAAAGATCTCCTTGGCTTGAAAACTGGCGCATTTCCGGGAGTCAAAGCACTAGTGACTAGCCGGATCAAGTCGCTGTTGAGGGCTGCAGCTGCAGCCCATGCTAAAGTCACTGCTGTAAGATCCGCCAAGGTTCCTGTCTGCTCCTGACTTGCCAAAGACTGTGATATGGTATGTGGAGTTCTCTGTGTGAATGGTAAAGCACATTTGCTTTGGCATCTCTATCGACATGCAGAAACCCGTCATCCTGGCACGTCAAGAAGTTGCTGTGGTCGACCTGAATTCCTCACATGCGAGAACTTTCATCTCAGGACTCGTTTACTTGTAGCTGTCAAACTAAGGCAAATAAAAGCAAGGCACACTTGAAACTGTTGAGCCCCTCAGCACCAAAGTATTTTTGAAGTTCTCCAAAACCTCATAATCTTGAAGGGCAAGGTGCAAAGAAGCGCTCCTTTTTGGTGGAGGCAGTTCGAAGAGGGGACTTGGAACCTTATGGCCACTTGGCATGCCAACGGATGCCCAAACGGTCCATGCGCAAAGTACTGCCATGTGCGAAGCTCCAGAAATCTGGAACCTTTTGCAGCGAAGAGGCGTCAGCTGACTCCACAGAAACATTCTCCTCGACACACTGTGCACATGGGCCCGCCAAAGTATGGTGGGACTCACATGAGGCCAAACTACTCATGTTCATGCGTGCTCTGACTATTCATGCTACCTTCAGTTTTTCCTCTTGTTTCTTGTCCAGGCCAAAAAAAACTGACACAACACCTCCGACTGGAACGCGGAGTACTCCCGCTGGACCGGCGAACCAGGAGAGGAAGCTGACTCCTGAAATCGCTATGCATAGCAAAGCTGCGCGGAACTTGCTTCAACCTAATGCAATGCATCTGACGATGAACTAGTACAGTGTCACACATAGTTTCTAAGGTGGTTCTACTTAGTTTCTTCTACAAGTATGCTCGAAATGTGATACCCAACGCAACAAACTGCATTTCCATCTCCGAAGAAATTCACTGAGTATAGAAGTGCTAGTGCCACAACATCCTGCGGTCGGCTTGGTTTAATCTGATGCGTCTCGAGCAGCAGCCGGCTCATGTCCTTCGAAGCTTGGGACGGCAATGCGATGTGTGACGGCTTGGACATGGGTCACATTTCTCTTTTTTTGGACTTGCACTGGCTCCCTCTGGGTCTTTTTTGCGAAATGTGACGCAGCGTGCCTGACAGAGTTGCGCGCGCAGGCTCCGGAGCTGAAGCTGCATTTCGTCGGCAAGCGAGGTACGCAACTGCTCCATAGTCATTGTCTTGCCTGCACGGCAAAAGGGAACGACTTGTCAAAAAGGTATAAACGCATTGAATTGCAAAGACCTTTTAGGACAAACTCTCTGTCAATGGGAGAGCATGTATGGGTTGAGTCTAGTGAGTCTAGTGGACTGGACGCTGATTTCCATGACAGCTGTGATCAAATGAGAACCTGTAGTAGTATCTGTAGATATCTGAAGCATACTGGAGATTAACATAGTTCAACTGTCTACGCTGTCTACACCTTGGTGTTTTTACTGACAGCACTTTACAAGAGCATTCCACCAGCATCGCGAACCCCACCTCTAGTTGGAGAAGCGGCACCCTTTCTGGACCAGGCCATGGCTTGTAAGGGGGACTATCGAGACTATCAAAAGCAACAACGAACGCTTTGTCGCTTTGTTGCTTTGTATTTGCGTGATTTGCAAACCTTCAGTGTTCTTGCTCTGGCCTAGGTTTGAACGCTGTGGTCTTTGCTAGATCGCCCTTCAAAGCAAAAAACATGCAAGGCGGTGTGCTGCGAGGCAAGTGTATCATGCAGGAAACCACCTGTGACATTGGATGCGGAGTATCACTTGTTGTGGAAAAACCATGATGTTTGAAAAAACCAACCCACTCTCTCTCTCTCTCTCTCGATGCACAAACATATTATACATACACAATATAGGCTGTGCATGGGTTTTACATCCCCAGCACAAAAACTGGTTCCTGAGATACCAATGTCTGGGATAGAAATCACTAAGCAGTCGTCACAATGTCAGGACTTTGATTACCTTGGCTAAGGTCTCAGCAACCATTCCGTCGGTTTGCAGTAGAACCAGCTAGGCCTTGCAGATTTCAGGGATGCAAGAAACAACATGGAGAGATCTACATATGCATATATATAATATATATATATATTCTATTATGTTCTCCTAAATATGTGTGTATATATATATAATTATATTTAATGTTCAGCGCCCTTGCGAGGGATATATACATACATCCGTATAGTATGTTTACGAGCTCGAAATTTTGGGGGGAACCGTCCGTTCCACAGCAGTTGAACCCGAACGTTATTAGGGGCTTGTGAAATGACTTGAGGCCAAAGGGAAGGGGACGAAAGCTAGTTGGGCAAGGAGAGATGTGTATTGAGAGAATATGTGGTGCGCCCCTGCGAATGTCATTTTTTGAATAAAAATAAATTACCATTCGATGTTGCTGACATGCTAACAGCTGCGTGTGTATCATGATATTCTAGCTGGCTTGCATGTGCCATCATAATTCCACAACGTTCCCCCTGCATCCTAGCATACCAGCGTCAACATTATGCTCCTAGTACTCTTCTTGCCAAATACAAAGTGCTCCAACCGAACGCGCTTCGGTTGAGCCACCTTGCAATCATCTGATTGAACCTCTCTCACTCAGCCTTTCCTTCCTTGTTCCTGTCTGTGACATATTGTAGATACATATGTTTATGATGAATGTATCTAACAGTCTCTATAATAAATAAATAAACAAATAAAGAAATAAAGTAATAAATAATCATAAATAAAACAAATTAAAGGACCGGATAACCCCACAAGTCAACTTCTTCCAATAATGAGCACCAAATGTTGTAGCAGGGACGGGGAAGGAAGGAAGGACAAAGGAGGTGGTGAAGGAACGAAAAGTTAAAACAGTTGTGTGTGATTAAGTGCTATGTGAAAGATTGTGTGTGACGAAGAAAGATCATGTGTGTGTGTGTGTGACAGAGTTGTGTGTGAAAGATGGTGTGTGTGAAAGTGATGTGTGTGTGTGTGTGTTTGTTTGTGACGAAAGAAGGATCATGTGTGCCACGCCTGCCACGCAAAGTGCCGCGGCGTCACCGGCGTCACCGGCGTCACCCGCGACCAAAACCGACCCAAGCACGCCACCCAGTGCCATAAAGTGCCACGCCTGCCACGCAAAACGAAGGTAGATGTCGCCAAGTGCTGCGCCGGCCACGTGAAACGAAGGTGGATGTCGCCAAGTGCCACGCCTGCCACGCAAAGTTCCGCGGCGTCACCGGCGTCACCCGCGACCAAAACCGACCCAAGCGCGCCACCCAGTGCCATAAGTGTCACGCCTGCCACGCAAAACGAAGGTAGATGTCGCCGAATGCCGCGCCTGCCACGTGAAACGAAGGTGGATGTCGCCAAGTGCCACGCCTGCCACGCAAAGTGCCGCGGCGTCACCGGCGTCACCCGCGACCAAAACCGACCCAAGCGCGCCATCCAGTGCCATAAGTGTCATGCCTGCCACGCAAAACGAAGGTAGATGTCGCCAAGTGCCGTGCCTGCCACGTGAAACGAAGGTGGATGTCGCCAAGTGCCACGCCTGCCACGCAAAGTGCCGCGGCGTCACCGGCGTCACCCGCGACCAAAACCGAGCTAACCCAAAAACCACCATGCCGTTTCCAAACACCCTTGTTTTCAATTTTCTCGTTTTGCACGGTTTTCGCAATCTGTCAAGGTGGGAACGAGTTGGCTTCGTTGAAAGGGAAGTGTCAACTTCCAACTCATTTCATCTAGCTCTGCCTATGGCGATGGTAACTTTTTGAAAATTCTCAGGTCTTTTCACCGACCCATTCCTGTCAGGTACAATTGTAGTGTTTTTGCACGTAAGATGCATTCCACATCAGAATTTGCAATGATTGTTCTGAGCGGGTGTGTGGGGGCATGCAAACGCGTGCTCTCAGATGAAACCCAGCGGATCCCAGCGGGATGGACGCAGCGGGGTTTAAGCCCGAGGGGAGGGTCACAGTTCGATATGATTAATCATGCCGAACAGGGGGTCCCTAAAACAAATGTGACATGAAAAATCATGGCAGCTGCGGCCAGTCTGCCCCAATTCATTGCTAAAGCAGATCCAACTCCAGCTAGCAAGCTAGCTTTCGTGATTGCAACTTCTGTGAAGCGTGCACAGCATCTCTGAAACCTGAAACACCGCAAAGTCTCTTGAACAGACGTTATTCCCATATGTATGTATGTATGCATGCATGCATGTATGTATGGTGTGGTATGGTATGGTAATGTCATGTAATGCAATGCAATGCATTGTAATGTAATGGTATGGTATGTACTTGACCCGCCAAAACCAACAGAAGGAAACACATGACACACATGTTTACCCTTAACTGATTCTTACGCATATCACAAGCTGAGGTTTGCACTCGTGGCTTCCAAATCTGATGTCAACCTGTGGGGTTGCTACACAGAATGTAATATGTTGAAATCAGGTAGGGCAGCATGCATCCTGTTTCAGCACTTCTGTGAGGCTCTGGCCCCGTAGAACATGGAGGACCCTGCTCGGGAGACGGATTGTAAACTTCGACCTTGAGCAGAACCCCACACCAGTTGCATCATGCCTTTCAAAGAATCACCAAAAAGCCAACTGACCCAGGAACAATCTGAGCCAGGTAAAAAACCAGGCGCCATGCCGAAGGATAATCCATTGCTCACAAAGTAGAAAGCAAGATTGTCCACAATCCAATCCTGCTTGGTTTGGGGCTGACTCGAATCTGGACAAATTATTGCATTTCATCCAGATCTCAGTTTCAAAATCATATCGCGCTGCAGGGCCATCCTGCATTCGTCGTCGCAGAAGCCTGTGTCAAAATACAATGGTTGTATCTAGTCGTCTGCTGTTCCCCATCTCGACACACAGAACAATGTTCCAAATGCTTTGAGTCACCCTCTTCTTGCCAGACAGATTTTGTGAGAAACTGCGAATCAAACCAACTGGGGTGTTCACCATAATTTTACAGGTAATTCTACACATTCACGACCCAATCACTACATGAAATCTGCCCTTTGATCTTGTTCAGCTTCATCCCACCTAGGCAACGCGAGGCTGGCAGAGACCCCTGTGACAGAATAGCCCATACCTCGCCAAAACACACGCAAATGCTGCCATGTGTACATTGTGCACACTAGGAATTGCTGGCATGTCGAAATATGGACGTACCAGATGCACCTGTCCTTCTCATCAGTGCCATCAATGAATCAGTCAAACCATCAATCAACCAAATCAGAATGTAAACACTTTTTGTCGTAGCATCTTGGTGGTATGTACATGGAAGCTGCAAGAGAATTCGATTGTGTGGAATGCTGTGCAAGGTCGTGCTTTGTTCTGCAATGACAGGGATGTTCTTCCAATCACGTGACTATGAATGATATGAATTATAGTAACTACTATATCCGCCGAATCCAGGGAACCAGGGGGAGCGCGTCTGAGAAGCAATGCCAAATGGGCAGAAGAGGGTGCGACGACGGATGAAAAACGGAAGCAACGTTCCGGAGGCTTGAGGGCTGCAATTTGGTTTTGCGACGCCGGCGCCAAGGTTGTGGAGGCCTGAAGGTTGCGATTTGGAGCTAGTTCTTGTCGATTCAGAAAGCCGTCTGTCGAAGTAGCTCGTCCGGCCTTCCCTCGCATGGTGTTTGGAACTGGCGAGCTCACGGTTGAAAGAGCGTGCCACGACGGATGACAAACGGAAGCAACGATCCGGAAGCTTGAAGGCTGCAAAGCTGGTTTCTGTTAGACAGCAAGGTTGGGCAGGGCAGTTGCCAGCCGAAGGCCCCGTCATCCTTTAGTTTCATGGTGTTACGGTGCTGTGAAGCCAAGGTTTTGGAGGCTTGCAAGCTGGAGCTCGCTAGATTCTAGTCGCGTCTTGGAGGTCTTTCAACAGAGATGGTCTCACGTATCGCCAACATAGCCTCAACATAGGCCCCAAGATGGGCCAACATGGGGCCAACATAGGCCAACGTAGGGCCAACATAGGGCCAAGACAGGGCCAACATAGGCCAAGATAGGGCTAACATAGGCCAACATAGGGCCAACATAGATCCAACATAGGCCAACATAGGCCCAACATGGACCCAAGGGCGGCCCTTCAATCCGGGATGGTCTAAGATATCGCCAACATAGCCTCAAGAGCGCAACATGCTCCCTACACTGACTTCAGGCCGTTTCTCTGCCGGCGCCCGGCTGTCAGGCGTAAGCCCTTAAATAAAATTATATAGATATTCTCAATCAATGCCGCCCTCAAAACTGCCATCCTCATCCTCACTTGCAGGGCACCATAGCGGGACATGACATAGTTAGTCCACACATTGTTGCCGCTGTGGTGTGGCAGTGTCCAAAGGACCTGGCTGGAGGAGTCAACATCGACAAAGACCAAATACAAAAGCATGCAAAAAGAATCATATATAATATAGTATCATACATTATCATACTATATCCTACATCACTCATTCATACATCATCATACAATATCACCTGTATAATCTGATATACTAATAGATATATATATATATCATATCATATCATATCATATCATATCATATCATATCACATATATATATATATATTGAATCCATATTGTATAATCATGTATATCACACTATATATTGTTGCAAACATCCAACTTGACGTATCCTCAACTTGGCTTATTGGCTTAGGGGCTTCTGGCTGACGCCACCTGTGCTTGGCCGGCGCGGTCCAGATCGCTCGAGGCAGCGCCCATGAAAAGCCTCAGATGCAAACATCAAAAAGCACGGAAATTCATGGGTTTTCATGGAATGGATATGGATGGATATATACATATATATGTTGTATCATATATTTTACACAATTCAAAACGTTGAAAACCAACACAGACCGGCAAACTTGCTTTCAAACAGCTTTCTTCGAATCTTCTGTTGAACACCGAGTTTGTGACACGTATCAAAGTCCTTGGCAACCAGCATTAGCTACCAGTTTGCTGTCGTGGACCAGACTCTGGATCAGTTTCACAAGGACTGCCAGCATGCAAAGTGATCGCGCCTGGTGATGAGTTCACAAGCTCAAACAACTCCTCATTACTTCGCGGCCTCACAAAAATCTTGCAAGCTGTGTCAGTTGAGACAAGCAAGAAAACTAAGAAGTTTCTGCAGCCCAGTGAAGTTCCGCACACATAAGGCTCTTGCAGGCACAGTGACGACAGTCAGCTTTACACATTGTTCCAAGAGCCTTCAAATGCCTACAGTCCTGCGATCAAGCTGAAGCTGACGCTCGGAGATGCTTCCAAGACGCTCGCAATGACTCACCCCAGCATCACCCAGCTCTGCACAATGGTCCAGCCATGCCCAATCTCCGCGCTTCGCTTTCTCCGGCAGGAACGCACAGGTATGTCCTCCTTGAGATGCACTTTCTTTTCTACACTGCGGCCGAGAAAAATATTACGCTGGTGCTATGACTACCAAACGCCTAAGCATATCCAAGTGATCAAAGTGCGATTGCGAGCTGGTGTTCCTGAGATTTCCTGAGCACGCAGTGTCTGCAGGTTGAACCTGTCATAGTCTCCGCGCTTCAGCTGCGTAGGAGTCACTGTCTAGCACTTTAGCAGGGCCCTGTAGGCAGATGGACCACCATGTAGTGTCAACACTGTCAAGACCTATCTCTATGTTTGTTTCGACATATTTTGACATACCGCTCTAATGTTTTAAGTTTGATATAATCATGAAATGTAGGTAGCAGTCTGACTGGACATCCACCACGTCGGCCCCAAGACAGTGGGACAGGAGACCATCGATTGCTGTAGCCATCTGTGGCCTGGAAGTGAGCCCATTTTAGATTCACTCCAGGCATGGGCATTTGCCACCTGTTACCAGGTCGGCTGGCTGCAAGAGGCTCTCGGAGCATTGCGCTCCGGCCCCTGCGTGCACCTCTAGAATTACAGTGTCAAGAAGGAAACCCAGATTGCCGAAAGCGGATTGAAGCTTCGCAGGGTCCTAACCATCTCAAGCAAGGTGCTTGAGCTGACTTACTCGTGTTCAGTGTGCACGGATGGTATTCTGGTATTGATATTGCTCAACCAAACAGCTTAGCCAACTTGAAATTTCTGTCAAACCATGTCATAAACGGACACGACAGCTTACTCTGTCCTCGTGCACATTGAACACTACGACTAGAGGCAGCAGTGCAGCATCGAACTTGCCAACTTCTACCGGGGCATCGCATCATGCCATCCAGTCTACAAATCTCCACCTCATTGAAACGTACTCGAACTATCTAGCCAGCAACCTAAAATCCCTAAGAGTGGGTCATGCCCGAAGGCATGGGTTCTACCAGTACTTTACTTGTTTGTCATCGCACAGATCTGCACAAGCTACAGGATGCTACACGCATACGTTTTTGTCCACTGTCCACAGCTGTATTGTATTCGGTGGTTCTAGCAAACGCCGTTTTGGGCCACCATCAATTCTGTTGGAACAATAGCCAATAGCTTGAATCCATCCTGACCCAACTTATGGGTTTTGGATGTATTTGGCATATTGGATCGTAAAACCTCCCTGCCTTCCGTATGTATACACCCCCCCCTCCGTTCATACATTTCCATCAAATGTATGAAAGGTAGCGGGGGGCAGGTGGTCAAGCCCGCCGACGGAAAGAGGTGTCAAGAAGGTTTATACATCATTATTTTTGATTGAATGAGAGACATGGGGGGGACCTGCCTTGCACCAGCAAAAAACAATTTTTTGGAAACCTCAAAAATGTATTCCTCTGGGGGTTAGCTGCTACTATGAACTATCAATTCATTGCAAGTTAAAAGTCTTAAATGTATGAAACATAGGGGGGACCATGTTCTCATGTACTGCAGGAATCTGGATGAGCTGAGACAATATCAAATGTATAAAATATAGGGGGACTAGGTGGTTTCTGTAAAACACTGGAAATGTATGAAAGTAAGGGGGGACTATGTTGTTTCAACCTCAAAAACTGACGATGCCCTTCGATTGATTTCCACAGTTTCTTTCGATATCTGGCCACAGAATCAATGAGTCCAAAGCAATTTCCAGTCGTTCTCTTTGCCAAGGCTGCAGCCTCACGAAATTTCGAGGCTTTGAAAACAGGACGGTTGCGCATTTTTTCACGATGCTTTGAAGACCTTTGAAGTTTGTTGCATTTAATTTTCGAAGCAAAGATGCAGAGCCATTTGGAAGCAACAAGAAATAGTTGAACATTGAAACTTCCCCTCTGTTCTGAACCTGTCTGCACACCCCAGAGGTCCCCAGAGCATGTGAATGTATTGTATTGTATGAAAGGGGGGGTTAGCTACACATCAGTGCAGCTATGCAGTTCAGGTACTGGGGGCAGGACACATGCAAGGTAATGTTTTAAACCTGGATCTCAATGTTTGATTTTAAAACAGAAGTTGAAAGAGCTATACGGAATGGGCAGGGTTGGATTAGATCAACACACTTCAACCATCTTCAACCCAAGGCTCAACCTTAAAACAAAAAAACATCCTCTCGGTACCGTACAATCCTTTAAAAATGTTGGAAAAAGGCACCCTAACAATAGATAAGAATCAGCAACAACTACTGCATTAGGCTTCTCAAGACAACCTTCATGTATAACCAATGTGCGGCGTGAAACTGCTGCTGACCCCCCAGGTGCATACATTCATGATACTTCATCTGCCCCCCCCCATTTCAATTCCCCCTCCCCTTTTCCAAATTTCGCACCCCCCTCCAAATTTGGGAATTATTAATGTACTAACCCATGGGGGTAGGTGGCCTCCCATAATTTGGCAAACTTAGATTTCAGGGGGAGGGGCCTCAAAAGCGTCATGCTATTTCGTAAGATTCCCCAGGAAAACTCCATGAGCATCAAAGATCCATGGCCTTGCAAAATCAATGTATGAACCCCTCTCCCCACCTTTTTCTAAACAAGCTTTTGAAGCCAAATACTGAAAATGTATGAGGAGCACCCCCCACCTCTTTAGGTAATCTCTTAATTTTGCCAAAATAAAGTACATACAATAATACCCGTTTCAGACGGGGGGTGGAAATGTATGAACAATTCCCTGCCTCCCCCCCTCTCCATACATTTTAAGGGGTGGGGGATATCGTAAACAGCTTTGGCGGCTTCAACAGCAGGAAAGGGTGTTAAAGTTATGCAGGACCAATCACTGGTCCCCTACATTTTGCAATACTCTCGAAAGTTCTGACTGTTTTTGCCATGTCGTCAATTAAGGCTTAACGGTTGGGATGGGCAAATGTCGGGGGATGCGGGGATTTGGAAATTTGGGCCCTGTATCGGTGTCAGGTGGGGCTGATGATGGCTTGATAGTGCTTTGCTTCCTAGACTGGAAGTTTGATCCAGACATTTCTTCCACTGGCTTATAACATCTTATAACTCTTCTCACAAAATGAAATGATGCCCTCTAAATGAGGCGGTGCAAATGCCAGGCTGAGCTCCGGGTCCGATTTTAGCATTTCGTACATCCCAAAGGTCCCTTCTCTGTTTACCAGTCATGACTGTCATGCTATCTTTGGCCAGACTTCGATGACTTTGGAACTCAGGATGGCTCAAAAGCACCCGTAGCAAGTATGAATTTGAGAGCACATGGCACTGTCACAGGGGAAGAGCTGGTGAGTGCTACAAGAATCACGTCCACTAGGATGTGCAAAGACTGCAAACGCAAAAGAACTCTGGCAAAAAGGACAGCATGCACATGTATGTCTGAGTCGGTTTCAAAAGTTCTTGAGGCGCCGATTAAAATTACCAACCAAGTTCCTCCTCTGTTCCTGCGTTTCTTTGCTTGTCTTCTCCACTCTAAGTTTCTTGCAGAAATTGCAAACTTCCTGCACGTGGACAGCACCTCACTTCCATGGCCCTATGCCAAGAGGGTGCGGCAAATCCTGTGCTCTTGGGATCGTCTGGCTTTTGCCAGTGTACCCATCTAATAAGGCAAGGTGTAATTTGTTCCATTCTCCCACAGCTCATTGAAACATTTCTCTTGCTTCTCTAGCATTGGACTCCGCTTGCACTTCAAGGAACGGCAAGCGACTCTACACATGCCATTGGCTTCAATCCAGCCATGGCTGCGCAAGTCGGGAGAGTCAAATTGCGCTCATCTTCACCGCTGCTGAGTAAGCGATGTGGTAACAAAATTAAACAGGATGATTCCAGGATGATTGTATTTTGTCGACACTCTGGACATCCTATGACATTCTCACTTCCGCTTGAGCTCTCCCTGTCCATGTAAATTGGGTTCCCACGGGAGTGTCAAACTCTCTCCCGGTCAAAGTGGCTGCAAGTGGCCTGCAATAAGGAACAAGACAATGTCGAGGCAACATCAATCAACATCAAGACAATCAAGACAGATCAAGACAGAATGTACATTGTCTTGCTCTGGTTCAGGGCTGTTGCAAGTGCCAACAGCACGGGGCAAAGAATGCTTCATCAAGGCTCAGGCCACCAAAATTGTGCACCGCATCACACCTGCGCAAGTTATATACCACTATCAGAGCTCCTTTCAAACGGGATTGAAAGAAGCAACTGGCCAAACAATGGTAAGCGAAAGGGATGTGGCGGATATGGGAAAAGAGATACAGTATGTACATTCTTGTGTTGGTTCCCCTGACAATGTATGATCTGCAGGCCTTTTTTAACATAGTGCTCTACACTTCCAGAATAGTCTCATTCGCAGATGTTCCCCTCCTATCAAAGTTCTCAAGCATGGACGTGATGCAAATCTTCCGCCTCCTTGGATCCTTGACGATCGCGGTTGGTACGAACTTTTGGTGCCTTGATTGTCCTGGCATGATCACAAAAGGAGACCCAACCTTGAAGACCTGTCCACTCAGAATCAGCACTTCATTTCAGACATGTTTAGGTCCAGAGATGTTCAAAGGCGTTCAGTCCTGGTGGGTGGCGGGAACGCGATCTGAACGCCGTTGTTGAAGATCAAAGGCTTGTACCTTGGTCACCAGTCACTACAGTAGTGGTCACTTGCCAGGTGCCTATCAGCCAATTTCGCCCTCAGCATCACCAGGGCCACGGCTCTGAAGGCATGCTTGGATGCATCACCTAGGGTTCCACTGATTCGAAAGGGTGTAGCCACAATAACGCTGCATAGACTTCCTGTTCATTTAGGGTCAAACAGGGCTGTTTCGGTACCTACAGGGAGGCGGAATTTTGTTTGCTCGGTACACATACTGAAGGCAGTCCTATCCAAACGACATCTGTATCCTCCAGGCCTTTCGATGTGCTCGGTAAGACCTTGATGTGGATGAGCCTTGGTTAAGATTTTCTGTCACCTGACTCCTGACAGACCCAAGATGTTGAAGGTAACGAAGGTAACTCTGTGAAGCTTCCATATCTCCCATCAAACACAAGCACTCAGATTCGCACCCAAGAGACCTCACTGGCCTGTGAGAATGCTTCCCCGACTACGTAGTGCTCGGTGTTCACATGCGCTTCACAACGCAAACGAACCAGTGCCTTTACAGAATCGAAGAGCCATTCCTTGAAGCCTTCGAACTCCTCAAGCTCAGATGTCTATTGTGCAATGCACTCAGGTCATTTTACAAGAAAAAAGTAAACATATCCATTTAAAGGCTAGGCCTGCTAGGCATCTATTGAATCTATTGTGGCCATTCAAACAATAAAAATCAATAAAACGTGTTGCAGTCTCTCTTGCGTGGTCCTGTTTGAATCGGAGAGCCCATTCATGGGAAAGAAGATTTACAAAGCAGTACCTGATTCACTATGAAGTTTGAGCAACTCACCAAAGAGGCAATGTCAATTTGAGCAAAACAAGTGTCACGGCAACTGAGCAGCACAAGCATGGCTTGGCTCACCCGAGGTTGACCTTGTTCTGGAAATCGATTGGTAGGTACACGAAGTCGTATTTGGCCTGCCATAAAACTACAACATCCATCAACATCCAGTAATCATCCAATACCAGTAGCCTCAATAGCCCATACCGCAGCTTCAGAAACCAGTAAAGGTCACCAGGTCACGAGGCAAGCGGATGCACTTTGCATGGCCTTAAAACCCTTTGCATCGAGGAGCTCCACGAGCTGCGCGGAGGTGTATCTGCGGCTTCAAGAGGTTGAAGAAAGATAAAGAAACGGATATCTTTTCCATCCTTTTGTATTACAATTACGTAATTTATTGTATATACTAGTATTTGATTTGTATCGATTAAGAAAACCTTCTCATCTCAAAATGACCTGGCTTCTTGGTTTCCTTTTGATGCTCGGTGCAAAGATCTCAGAGACCCCTGGGCTCTGCTGGGGTCTGTCGGACCTGTTGGGAATGTGGCGCAGCATTACCGTGGTGGGGTCGCCAAAAGGCTCAGGCTGCGGGACTTTGTCAGCCTTTGCCTGGCAGATCGTTTCTTTCAAAAAAAAAGCTGGTAAAATGGACAGTTGACCCACATTAAATGGTAATTTGTATGGGAAAAATGATGATTAGCCATGAACAACCATGAATAACCATTGGATTTTGGGGCAAACTACAGTTTCACAGTCAGATCTTGTGTTCTCTTGTGATTCTCCTTGCTTCTCAGCTCTGACTCCTGTACGCTCTGCCTGCACCCCAACTGGCAGACTGATGCCCTCCTTCTGGCCTCCACTGAAAAAAAAAACAGCATATCATTTTTTGGCCCTTTGGCCTGAGAAGTAGCATGAAATAGCGAGATGAAAACATAACTTGCGAAGTCGGCCAAGATCCCTGCCCTTCTTTGCATCGGGGGTCTTCTTCTTTGCACGAGCAGCCTTTGCACACTCCAAACTCTTCCTCTTCCAATCAGTCAGAAACTGCTGCGAAATATGATTTCATAACGTTTCATGCAATCCTCAGGAGCCACAATCTTAGAGCATCCGAGCAATCTTACCTCGGCGGCTGCATCCTTCTTCACGCTTGCACTGTTGCGACGGGCGCCCTGCAACTGCTGAATTCCTACCGAAGGTCTCTAATATGCGAGTTATTGTCTGTGGGCTCAAGATGTGGAACATATGGATGTTTGATGGTTTTTGATGAAATTGGATGATGTTTGATAGTTTTCAATGCTTTTTGAATTTGAAGCCTCGTACGAAACCCGACTCTGCTTGCTTTGGGCTGTTTTCAGGAAAGAAAGGAGCCCTGCGATTGCACACTCTGCAAATACTGCAAGCAGTGAGGTAAAACAGTGGATCCAGGTAGGGGGCAAATAACATTTAGCACTTAGGCGGTTACGGCGGTTACGGGGGCTGAAAAATACTGAGACTTTCTCACCTGCTCCTTCCATAAGGCTGCAGCTGCAGCGGCAAGGCTCGGCGGCGTATGAGGAAACCTTGGTGAAATCATGGCTATGCTCCAAGGACAAAAGGTCTGAGCCGAGACCAATGAGCCAAACCCAAATGTAAGAATGTAAGAGTCTTTTCCAAAAGATCAACAGCGGGTGTGTTTAATGTGTTTATGGAGCAACCTTTTTCAAGCCAACCAGTGAACTTGTGCCTCTGCTGACATCTTGAGTAGCACTAGGGCGGCTGGCATCGACATGTGGTTCCAGGGTGGCAGGTTTGCCTTGTAGGGTAGGCAACACATTGCACCAGCATCCATTGGGCACCAGCAGGAACAACGCTCTCTGCTTCCCTGAGGTTCCAGCACTCCATGTAGGGGATAGTCCAGCACTTCCGAAAAGCCAGGGATTGGCCATGTCAGGCCTTACAGAGTGAGCTATGGTACACCATTTGTCCTTGATCCCCATACAACCAATTCTGCCCGACTTCGAAAGCAGCTTCAGTTTCTCGAAAATTATCCTGCAAACAAACTTGCACCTTTGCCTTGAACCTAGACTTCAGACAATCTTCACTGACAGAACGCTGGTTTTTATGAAACTTTGAAACACCTTTATTATTATTCGGTAGGAATAAGGACCTAGTCATAGTCCTAGAGTCCTAGAGATTGTTGGAAACACCGTGCAACATGCAGATCCGACAAAGAAATCCTTGAGTTTTCCACAATACGCCATAGCCAAGGTGAGGCATCAAGCTCGCGCAAGGACTAGGCAGGTGGAGCTGCAATCCACAAGATGATCCTGGCCCTTCCCATCTGTGAGTTCCTCTGGGCTTTAGATGTGTGTGCGTGTGTGTTTCTTTGTGACTGATTATATATATATGGTTATATATATATATATACATACATACACATACATATATCATATTTGTACTGCATGTGTATATATATATACATACACACACATATACATGTGTATATATATATATATAAACATTATATTCCAACTGAGTCAGCCAACCCTGCAAAACACTCATGAAATCTGCCATTGCCTGAGGCCAAGGAGAGATCCAGGGAATTGCGGTGGGACCTGGAACTTCCGAAAATTTGACCATGGAAAATTTGACCATGGAGCATTCAGAAACGCAAACTGCAAGCGGCAACTTGGAAATGTTGATCATATGAGTTCATATGAGCATATCTGTCATGGAAGGACTCGGCTGCACTCAGCTGCTAGCGCGAGATCCAGCTTCTTGGGAAATCGTTGCAGGATTCTCTTCAAGAACCTCAGCTCCAAGAGTTGCTGCCATTTCTGTGATCCTAGACCACTGAGCTCAGCCGCTAAGCTAGTGGCAGATGGGAGATCAGGAATATCAAAGCCATCAAAGTCCTCGTGCTCCGATGCAAACCTCTTCCTGGAGAAAAATGTTAAGTTGTTGCTTTCAAGGTGCCCCCTGCAGCCCCATGAAAAATACCACGATGCCACAATCCAAACATGGTCCGAACATCTCTGGTTACAGCATGTTGCACCTTGTGATTTGGAAAAGACCAGGGTGGGCAGCATCAGTGCCAGTTGAAAGCGGAACCTGGAAGCATCACAAGGGCTGACAGAGACTTTCCACAGATCCCAAGCCCGTTTAAGACTCAAAGCTGTCAAGGCTACGAAGTCATGTTTCTTCGTGATATAAATAATGTGTATATATATATGATATGTATATATACATATGTTATTTTATCTAAAGACACATAATATCAGATAATATCATAGGGTTATATAATATATGATAATATGTGTATATATATATAAGAGATCATATACTTGCCAGCAGCATGTGCATCTCCGGGAATCAGTGAATCGCAAGCCTTCCATGGCAGCTTGTTGTCTGAAATGTCTGAGTATGCCCTGGTCCTGACAGGAGTGTGGCTGGTCTTGTTCCCTGTGCGCATGTTGTCAATGGGCCTGCAGGAGCCCAAGAAAATGTGTACAATTTCATGAAGCCAAGTCCTTCCGGGCCGATTCTCCTCATAATCCATGTAGGGGTCCTTCCATGTTTCAGCTCTCAAGCATGAGTCACTCTGTGTTCTTTGAGCCCGATCCCTATCCTATTTGAGTCCAGGAGCAATCAATTCCTTCTTGTGCATCCATGCCAAATTCAGCCACATGGTTCTGTGCCCCGCAGGTTCAACGCCCTGCCAGTCCCGGCCAGAGAATTCCAAGAATGTGTTCCTCACCACCAGCCCTGGCCTTGAAGACGCTTTTGAACATAGAAAGTGAAACTCGATTTTTTAAAAAACGTTTCTACTCGCGGCAAACCTTTGCTAAGTCCAAGACATGCTCGCGTGCATGTCCATGGTGTACGCCATCTTCTTCTGATGTTGCGTGTTGCCTGGCCACAGCTCAGGGCGGAAGCCGGCGGAAGCCCTGCCTGTGGATGTATCACTTTCCTTTCCTTGGACCTCTCAATCCAAATGTGACGTTGTGTGACAGGTTGTGTGACACGGGTGACACAATGATTCTTACGTAACGCCATCTCGAAGCCTCCAAGATCCTGGTTGTGCAACTGTCAGGCTGAACCCAGATCTACACTCGGCGCTGAGCCAATAGAAGGGCAGTGTCTCAATGTCCCAAATTCCCAAGTTGTGCATCACGCGAGGTCTGCGGATGTGCAAAAAAGTAATAGATTCAAACCCAGGAGATGAGCATGTTACATCCTAGGGATCCAGTCAAGTCACTACTAAACCAGAGTTAAATATTGATTTTGACTCACTGCTTTGGGTCGCAGCCATTGTAGCCGTTGCAGCGCTGGTGGCCGCCGTCATCAGACTGTTTTTGTACAAATGAGGGACTTCGAGGAAGGAGCATCTTCGCTGCCTCCGGGTGCGCGAGATCGCACGAGGATTTGAGCAACTGAATCAGGGCTGCTGTGTCCCAGTGAACATCACCTTTTTGCACTTTCCAATGCCTTGCATCTGTCGAAGGATGTGACTTGACTTCACCTAAGAATCGGTTGAAGACTGCAGAGGTCAAATTCAGCAAAAGTCTAGAGAAGCACATTTTGTTTTACCAGGTATGGTTGCAAATCCTGGCAGGTTGAAGGTCTTACAGTTTGAGTGGACAGCGGAACTACAAAGGATCTGCAAAGGTGTGAAGTTGAGAAAAACAAAACCAGCTATACCAGCTACAGTTTGATAAAGTTTGATAAAGTTTGATAAAGTTTGATAAGATCTCATTCAACAAATTTCAACAAAATACTGCCCCTTGCACGGCCTTGAAGCCAACACATCCATAATCCTGGATGTCCACGGTCACTATGGAGCGACATTAGTGTTCTTATGTGTTCTTTCATTCGGATGTTGAAGCTACCACTTTGCTGTCTGTTGCATCAAAGCAATAAGAAGTTGGAGTCCTGGTGAAGATTGCTGCATTCGGGCACCAAAGCCACCTTTGCTTTGCTTTGCTTTCGAAATGCGCGGCATCAAGGGAATGCTCAACATCTCTTTCAATCTCTTTCAGAGCATCTTCATCCAGATTCACTTGACCTGCATCCTGCGCCATATCTTCTGGATCTCCCACTTCCTGGCATTTCTCACAAGTTTGAGGAAGTTTGCAAGTTCAGCACTGAGCGTTGAGGAGCACCAAAACACTTGATCATACGTGGTGCACATGGGCCTCTGGCACTGCTCTCATGGATCGACCTACAAATCGCACCAGTACCGTACATGGCGATAAACTTGCTGACATCAAGAGAAACATATTGCATTCCAAGCACAAAATGATGTCTCAGGATGACTGTTGGCATCTGCTAGCATCTGTTAGCGGACACTTGTATTCAGAACTGCGCTCTACATCATTACATTCTACATCTTTCATCATCTCTCTACATCTGTCTACATGTTCTTCATCTTTCTTCATCTATGTTATGTTATGTTATGTTGAATGTCCACACCTGTGTCTGGCAGAGGGACGACATAGGGGGCTCCGCTCTTGGGATCATCAAACAGGTGGACCCCACAGCTGATCCGATTGTCGCCCATTGATGCTCCACCTGGCCGAGCCAAGGAGCCGATGGCCATCGATGGCCATGGCTCACATGTCACATGGCCATGGTCATCTGAGTGTGGGACACAGGACACTGGTTTCACCATCATTGATTTTCATAGCCTCAGATGTGAAAATGCAACACATGGTGCAACACCATGTGAGTAATGCTGGATGTGCTTACTCAACTGTTTGGTCATGAAACTTCAGGAAACTTCTATTGACACATGATCTGAGAAGCCCCGGCACGTGTCAATTCTGGTGGAGCATCGTTTTCAAAGCCAGGTTGCCCTGGCTGTTGTGCCGGCCTGGGTGGTTCCAGTCATTGAAGGGTTGGTGCACTTTGAGTCTCTAGGAGCCCGACAAAGGATATCCCGGAAACAGCTCTTTGTAGCTTTGCAAAGAGTAACCTCACCATCCATACATTCTGAAACACAAAGTTGGACAAAATCCAAATGCACCATGAAAAATACCCCTATCAGGCCCTATCATCCCTATCCCATCCCGTTGTACTGGTTGATTCATAGGTATCCCGGTATCCCTGTTGTGGATGGTAGGATAACCAATCAATGTTTCAAGTGCTTCCATTGCACTTTCCACATCTTTCGATAGCCTCTGAGGCCAAGGCTTGCCTCTCCAGGGGGGGATTCTTTCAGCGCGTAGGCATCCTCTTCTTTGCTCACATCAGTGGAGGTGAGTGTTGACTGCGGCCTTGGTGTCCGTCAAAAAACATGGTCACGTCGCCCGTAGGAGCGCTTGACTGTTGTCACATTTGACATCACTTATTTCTGACTTGTTGTTTCAATTTTGCAACCCTTGTGTGTATTTGAAGACTTCAAACAACATTTTTGTGATTTATTGGCATGCAAAAAATCATTGTAACGTGGTGGAAAAATTGTTGTCTTGTGTTGAAAACGCTGCGAGGAAACGCGAGGAATATCGATTTTGTCCTTGTTTCCTCTTCTGCCCCTTTGTTTCTTTCGCGGTCACTGAGTTTCTTTGCGGAGTTGTTCAACCTTTTGGAACAGAGAACCTTGAAGCTGTCTTCCCCATTATCTTTGACCACAGTTCCTTTTTTTCATTTTTCCTTGCCTTTTCGTAGTCCATGATTTCAAAATAATATTTCAAACATGACAAGATGCTCGAAACTATGACTTCAAAATGTTTGAGAAGGTTTGCCGAAGAAAGAAAAACGGTTAGAGCGTAGCATCAAATATCTTAGAAAGTAGCAGAGAAGATCTTTGAGTGTAGCATCAATCATGTTCAAAATAATAAAACAGCCTAAAAAATAACATGAATTAAGTTGAAAAGTAGAAGAGAAGATCGAAAAACGTAGCATCAAATATGTTGGAAAGTAGAAGAAAAAATCTAAACACGTAGCAACAATTACGTTGGAAAAGTAGACGAAACGATCTAAGAGCATAGCATCAGTGACCCCAGAGAGTAGCAGAAACGATCTAAGAGTGTAGCATGATGTATGTTGGACAAAAGAAAAGAGACCGAAGAGCGTAGCATCAATTACCTCAGAGAGTAGAAGAAACGATTTAAGAGCCCAGCATGAATTATGTTAGACAATAGAAGCAGAGAGTAGACGAAACGATTTAAGAGCCCAGCATGAATTATGTTGGACAGTAGAAGAAAAGATCTAAGAGCGTAGCACAAATTATGTTGGACAGTAGAGGAAAAGATCTAAGAGCGTAGCATGAATTATGTTGGACAGAAGAAGAAAGGATCTAAGAGCGTAGCATCATTTACCCCAGAGAGTAGAAGAAACGATCTGAGAGCGTCGCATGAACTATGTTCGACAAAAGAAGAACAGATCTAAGAGCATAGCATGAATTATGTTAGACAGTAGAAAAGATCTAAGAGCGTAGCATAAATTGTGTTGGACAGTAGAAGAAAAGGTCTTAGAGCGTAGCATCAATAACCTCAGATAATAGAAGAAAAGATCTTAGAGCGTAGCATCATCCAAGTACGCACTCAACAAGATGTTATTGCCCCTCTCAGCCCCCGCCCGCCCCGAAACCCCACCCCCGGAAATCTGGCGCAAAGCCCCATCATGACACTGACATTCAAAAATATGCGAGGCGCGCGCGGTCCTGGAGGCGACCACACCAAAAACATGAAGGGACAGGTATCACAATTCCTGTGTCAGAACGTGTGTAGATGATGTATGTCATGTATGAATGTGATGTGGATGACGTTGATGTATGTGACAGTGATGTTGAAGTTGATGGACATGATGTTGATGATGTATGTGATGTAGATTAAGTTGATATAGGTGATATAGAGGATGTATGTGATGTAGATGTAGATGATTTTGGTGATGTAGCAGAAGTATGAGATGTTGCGTAGATCAAAAAAGAAGTTGAATTTGGCAGCAGATCTTTGGAAAAAAGCCTTTCCAGGAACTTTCCGGAAAAACATGAATGGCCAGGAGAATTGCAGTCGAACATGATCGAACATCAAAACTCGAAACGAACTTTGAATCTTTGGGATTCCAGAATTATCTTATATAATGTCGCGACCTTGAGCAAAGCTGAAACGTTCAATACGCAACTCTTGCATTGCTGCTGCGGAGCGAGTCTAGATTTGCTCCAGTCTCGGTGGAAATGAAACCGCTGAAGCCCATTGTTTCCTACATGAATGATCTCTACACTCCTTCACAGAGCCGACAAACTGCAGTTGACAGTCTTCATGTTGTAGTCTTTGCACCAACAACAACTCCAGGTGTTCTAGCTTGTGGACAATATTCGGTCATGTTCCAGCGTGAACCATGTCGCATCATGCATCACTGCACAATCTGCACAAAGACACTTCCAACTTCCAACTGCACTTTTTGTTCGATGGTACCCGGCTTGTCAGCCTGGCAAACCTGCCAAACACAAATGGCAACAAATAGCAGCAAACAAGGACGAATAGTGCATAAACACAAAGCATCAATCACCGGATGGGTCATGGAGCAAATTTCTCACACTCTACCAATGTCCAACACCCAACCGGGCTTCACAACCTATAATTTCCAAAATATGGTCAATTCAGGTCATGTCAGTTCCTCATTAATATAGACCTCTAGAGTTGGGCAAGTTGTACAACGCCAGGCAAATATCCTTTCTGTTTCCGACAAGTCTTGTCGATGCTGTTCATTCCGAGACTTCGACGGAAGCAACAAGCACCTGGACAGGCCCTGTAGGTCATTGCAGCTGCGATCCGATGGAAAATGACGAAGCATAGACCATATCACGGTGATACAGCGAAACCGAATCTTCTGCATAAAAGAGTAAGAGTGGCAACTAGCTACTCACAACCCCAAATACTTTGTAGTACTTGCCATCATACTCGACACAGGCTGATGTTGAGAGACTGTCAAAACCCACCGAAGCTACCGAACTTGGCGGCGGAATGGTGGGATCGCAAGCACATTTGTCTTCATTCCCATTGCATCCGTCCTTGTTGCCCTCGAAATAATGTTGCACCACCACGCCATTCTCGCAAAACATCTTGTAGGAACCGTAGGGTTCCTTCTTGCATGCGCCCAAAGGACTTACCCAAACCGCATCTGGTGGTCCAGAGCAGGTTGAAGAGTAGTAGTACATAGCATAAGCCCACGCAGGCATGTTGACTGGGGTCTTGGAATACGTCAAATATCCAGCTCTGGTGGGGTAAGTGAAAGGAATCCATGGGCCTTCTGCCATCGACGATGCAAGCATTGTGAAGGCTTTGGATGTACCTGGACTGCACTCGGTGCTGAACTGCTCAATCACGTTTGGGGTGCCGAGGCATTCCAGCCCATTCCACTCTGCGAACAAAAGCACACCATCCGTAAGGGTAAACATGTGGGAACGTTGCCAAAGTGCAACACACAAATTCAAGGCAAACCATGCATTGTCTCGTGTCCAGTCTCCTTCGCAACTCTCGGCATCAAACGTCTCTTCCAGGAAAGACACTGAAGACCAAGTGGCATTCCTCACTTGTTGTTGGCTAAGAAATGAAAAAATAAAGGACCGGATAACCCCACATGTCAACTTCTTCCAAAAAGTAGCCAAAGAAAGGTGAAGACGGAATGGGACAGGCAGGGACGTATGAAACACGTGCGTGTGAGAGAGTTGTTTGTATGTCTGTATCGTGGCAAACGGGAACCAAGCGCGCCACCAGAGCCAACCCCATGTCATACGTGCCATGCCTGCCACACAAAGTGAAGGTGTGTGTGAACGAGTTGTGTGTGTGTGACACATCTGTATAGATGTAAAACTTCAAGGTTTAAATTTTTGGTTGCAGGGGGTGGTAGCAGGGTCCAGAGTCTACCACCAACGAAGACGCTCTGGTTTCCCTGGTGATACATGGCCTGATCAGCCATGCGTACCTGCAGTTTGTATTTTTCCGGAATAGCAAGGGGCTAAGCTCAGAACCCCCAAGACAGACATGGTACATTTGCACGGTTGTCACAATCTGAATTCCACCTCGATTATTCCTCCGTTGGTTTGATCCTTATTCTATTCTAATTGATGTCGATTCAGGTCACGAAGGTCATTCGGGAGAACTTCCATTATTCGAAGGGCACTTCGTAGGTTAATTTGTGTCTCATTTAATTTGCACGTTTACAGGACTCAGTTCCTGATGGATCTATTCAAAGATCCAACTTTGTCTAGTGTAATATCCATGGTGGCTCCGACATGGTGCCATGGAGCCATTTGAGGCAACCCTGTTTAGGGTGACTGTCGACTGACCGGATTTCTGAATTGACAATTTTCAATTGATAATTCGTTTAAGTAATGCGAAACAGTCAGCCTTTCCATTCATCAACCTTTTTTGTGATATCCTGCCGCTCCTGTGGTCCCTTGTGAACCTTGGTAAATGCACTTCTACGACTGTGATGCCGTCTTGAACAGCCAAAAAACTTCTTTTTTACTGCTGCAGCTTCAGCCTTTGATGTGAAACATGGCTTAAGCGACAGAAGGCATCAGGCATGTCCTCTTCCTGCAGGTATGGTCTTTTTGGTATCTGGTGAGGCTGAACATATCGTGCATCTAATTCGTTGGAACTTGAACAGCTGCTTATGCCATTGCGGCACGACTTGACTACGGTCCCGAAGGGGAGTAACGCACGACTTCTGTTTTAGGTGGAACTGAGTCCTGTCTGGTTTTCGTTTATGCAGTACACATTTGATTGCGAACGATTTCATCACCTACGGCACCAACCTGGCCTCCAACTGCACCGCCGACCACCTCACCTACACCGTCTACGATGCCTACACCTTTACCTTGGCCAACTCCTTCACCGACATCGACCCCACCTCAGGTCCAACATCATCCGACCCACCACCCAGAATATTCGCAATTTCACCCGACCTCGGCCTCTTTCCCGACCTCGACGCCTGGCCCCGGTGACCACCTTTTTGGTCTATGTTACATTCTTCGTGGCCTACTATGCCCTCTTCATCGATCCCAACCAATTCGCCAACGCTACCAACATTCCCATCCACCACCACGACACCTCAAGTTCCACAGCCGAACGTACCTCCGATTACACCTTCACATCCAGGTTTTCCAACTTTGACACCTTCCGGGCGCTTTGAGACACCTATACTTTCTCTACACCAACGGCAACCTTTTCGGCGCATTCAGGACCATCATTTACAGTTCCATGCCACACGGCTCTCGAGACCGTCGTGTCCTTTCCAGTTTGACATTAGAGTTATACAGCTACTACCGCACCGACCAATCCACCACCTCAACCAACTCCCGCCACACCAGTGTTACCTTCACCATTAAGCTTCCTGCTGCACCCAAACACACCGCCGTCAAAGCTGCACCAAAAGTTCGTTCAGACAAGCGCCCAGAGAAACCTCGTCGTTCTGCTCATCCACCTGCTGTTCCACCGGTACCTGTTCAATCTCCCACACCGTCCAACACTACACAACAAGAACTTACCACCCTGGGCACCACCACCAAGGAGCTTGCTGAATCAGTTCGCCTCATTCAACAACAACAGCAACTCATCATCGAATCCCAACGTCTACAACAACACTTCATCACGCTCCTCCTCCTCCTCCTCCTCCTCCACCTTCGACCATTACACCACCAACTTCTTCAGCTCCAGCCTCCAAAGCCAGACCTATTGAACCACATGTCACATCAACTTCATCGACCACTGGAAAGGTGGCACCACCTATTCGCATTCCGTCAGCTTCACCTTCCGCCGCGACTCCGCCACATCGACCTCGCCGATCTCGATCTCGCCGACGCTCTCCACAACGTTCTCAACATCACCGACAAGCTCGTCCTCGATCTCCTCTACCCACCTGTGTTGCGGTTGTCGATGACTCGCTGCTTCCCTGAACTCTGAGTGATGACACACCGTGGTATCAAACGATGTGCCTTGTTGCCAATGTGCTTGAGGAATTCTGCTCGCCGCAGAGGGGGGGTGCAGAAACCATTCTTGGAGTCCTCCATGGACTGCTGCAGCAAGAAAGCGTCATCTTTGCCGGCCTTCAGCTGATTCAAGATGTGCTGGTTATGTTCTTGCCATCCCTCCAGCACTTCTGCCATGCTGATCACCTCAGCTGGCTGCTGAGGAAAGATGCCATACGACGGTGCATATCCCACCGCTGGCAGCCCTCGGGCTAGCCCGTAGGGGAAGCTGGTATCGGCCCAAGAGGTGAGGATCATCAACAAAGCGATGAACCCGATGTCCCGTTGCCTTGTCACTTGGCGCACTGCTGGCTCCTGAAAAGAGTGCAAATGGAGGGTCACCCCCTCCCAGCGCCTCTTGAGCTCACGTAAAGCGCCCACAGCTCGTTGTCCATGCTCGCAGTGATGGCCGTGGAGCTGCGTATGCATCAGCGACATACTTAAGGTCGAGGTCAGACACTGGTAAGTCCTCGTAAGGCAAAGGTTGTTGAGCTCTCTGCAATGCTCGTCCAAAATGAGCGTCTGGTTCCAAGTTGAAGGGCAGCAGTGGCGGCAAAGCTGCTCGACCCCACTTGGCAGCCATCTCCAATCCGGGCAAGCTGACGCACAGCTCCGGCCGCCAAGTGAGGGACCAAAGGCCCGTCGCAAGCCTCTCCACGCTCAGCAAGCCAGGCTGAGTACGAGCAAAATGGGGGGCTATTGACGAGGTCTTCCACCATGGCGAACGAACTTGAAGTTCTGGAACCAATGCTCTGGGAACAATTTGCGGAATGCCAGCACCAGGGCTTCTTGGCTCATCATGGGCAAGGCCACGCCTTTTGGCAGCGCTTGGATGCCTTGTAATAAGGCAACGGTGCGGCTCCACTTGCCCTCGGAACCTCTGCTAGCTGGGTTGCCGTCAGGGCAATGCATCCCAAAGTGGGGAAGTCCTGATATGGACGATATATATACCTGGCAGGCCATTCGCCAGCCTCACAGTTGTGGCCAGGCGTCCAAGGGGATCTCCACTTGGTAGTGGAGAGGCGATGGTGAAAGCTGCCTCGTCCCACGTAGGCTGCTTTGGCCGGCAGGCTGTTGTTCTCGATCATGACATCCGTCGCAAGCTTTCTGACTGGTAACCCCGGTCGTCCAGCTCGCAACGCTTCCGTCAACCCGAGGGTCACTGCTAGCAGTGCTATTGCCCATTCCCTCATTGCGCAAGGATCCATGTCAAGCCAATGCTCCCGGCGCCCAACTGAGAGAAATGATGGCATTCTCGGCACCTGCAACGTAGCAGGGCCCTTTCGAACTGCCCACACCAACTTGCTGACACCGCGATGGCAAACGCCAGAACTGCTGTACTCCGCCTCCTCCTTGGATGGGTACACTCGCTGGCCACTCTTGCGGGGCATGTACATGATGGCAGTTTGCTGAGGGCCATTGCTGGATCTCCTCCAAGTTGTGCCGAAGTACCTGATGCTTGCAACGAGCGCCACCCAACGTGCAGGCTGCGTAGGAAGTGTCTGTCCACTGCCCTGACTCCCACATCGCCACTTCCGTTGAAGTCCACCAATGGAGTGAGCGGGCTGGGTTCTCACGGACACTCCCTCCCCCAAAAAATGTATAAAACAACAGTTCATAGAAGTTTTTTAGTTTCAATTATAACAGTCTAAGCACAGATTTTTAATATTGTTGATTACTTCATTTTTTCAACAATATCAAAACTATAATGAAAATCATAACAGTCAAAGTATAGTTACCTCATCCATTTTTCAAAATCACAACAGTTCAAAGAATAACAAAACCCAAAACCAGAACAATCAACAAACAACAGCAAAATCATCACTACCTACCATCAATCACCTCATTCATTTTTCACAAAATCATCACTGCCACCTATACCATAATCTCATTCATTTTCATAAATCATAACTACGAACCATCTATTACCTCATCCATTTTATAAGAATCACAACAGTCAATACATCATCACCTCATCCATTCCATACCCAAAACGACACAACCAAACAACAAACAAAAAAAACAGACCAAGCAAAGCACAATATAAAAATCAAAACAGAGAAAACCATAAATATAAATCCATACCCTTTAATAATCCTATCTTAATCATCCATAATTCTAATAAATAAATATTATTAGAAATATTTTAATAGTAAATGTCTTCAATAATTACGACTTTAAAATGAAATGCCTGTATTCCTATTATACTATCTTTATCTTGGTCTTCTTCTATGTCGGCTTTTATTTCTTCAACTGCTTTCTCTAATAGTTCATCTACATTATCTTCATCCTCTTTTTCATCAAAGTAATTCATCCAACCCGAAGTTGTCACCCAACTTCCTAAGGATTTCTTCGGGGGAACCTTTCTCCAATGGGACTTTGTCAGTCTCCATGGCCAACGTTCGAGGACACCCCTCTGTCTAAGGCCTAGGGATCCCCTCCCGTTGACTGAAAACTGCGCCTCGGGTCTCCCCCGTATGGTGCACTCGACTGGCCTGACATGCCGGTGCAATCAATTCAGTTGCGTCTGGTTACAAAAGTATGCACAATAATAAT